TATATTTGATTCAATTGCATTAATAGATTCTCTGAATTCGTGATATAAAATATAAATTTTGAGGTTAGGGATGTTTGTTTACTAACTTGAAATCTTTTACTGCTGCGGTAATTTCCACTTAAAATATATATTTTATATCTTTTTTAATAACATGCATATTGGATATTGTTTAATAATGTTGTTAAAATGTAAAATGTTATTAGTAAACTAACACCCATAACCTCAAAATTTATATTTCATGACGAATTCAGAGAATCTATTAATTCAATTGAATCAAATATATAACAAAATTAATTATCAACACACATTTTGATTTTTATATGTCAAAAAGAGTTTTCCATGTTTAAAATATGAATAAAATTTATGAAAGTGGAAACCACGAAGTAAGAATAGGAGTCTTCACTCCATGGGTGGATTGGAGGAAAAATGTCCCCAAATCTGGTAAAAGCATTCCGGAAAATTACAATAGTCGGAGGTGGCGTTCGTAACGGGAAAAACCTTAAACTATTGATCTCCCTAATGAAAGTCGTCTGCTATTTTTGAAAAGTATATTATAAAATCACATAATTCCATATTTTTGACAAATTAAGTAATTGAATAAATAGTAAATGTTAAATATGTATGCACTGTGCATGCATACCGAAATATTTGTCCTTTCACACTTCAACAAAATCTAGTGAATGTTTAGTAACTTTCTAGTTACAACCGAAATTTTTGGAAAATTACTAGAAAGTTACTAAACATTCACTAGATTTTATTGAAGTGTGACCAGACAAATATTTCTGCATCCATGCACAGTGCATGCATGAGATAGTGTGATCGTACCCTTATACATGAGTTTTCTACATGTGTATTATACATAAGACTAATTTTAAGAAACATAACCCTAAATCTGCTTGTTTCGAATTTCCAATTTTCAAAAGTTCTGATATTGGCAAAAATTAATTATCGATGCTTTGATAAAATTTAAATTATATTAGTATTTCTCTTCTAAATTGAGAACGGAAGCACATTTGAAATGTTAAAATTTTTTACGAAATTATTGCAAATAACATAATATTATTTAACTCAACAGAAATTTTTCAATTGACCAATATTTAAATATTTTATTTATTAATTAATTCTCATTTACCAACAATAAACCAGAAAGTAAATAACAAAAAGAGGTTATGTTGCCATTGATGTGGCTACAATGTCGAAAGGCCTTAGCAGAATAGATTCTTGAACGGGAACGCAATCGTAAACGGAAACGTAACAATGTGTAAGAGAAGGATAGCAAATATCTTTATTCTTCTCTCACCCATTCTTACGTTTCCGTTCACGATTGCGTTCCCGTTCAAGAATCTATTCTGCTTAGGCCTTTAAAGCTGGTTTTCTACAGTATTATACGTATAATACGTCATTTATGTATTATATACGGAAGCGCCTATGGGCCACCCAAAGGCACGTACACATGTAGGCTAAATGTAGCAAAATCGAGTTGAATTGAACCTCCCAATTCTGTAACTCGTTTAGCGCTCGGCCGCACGCTCTATTGGTAGTCTACGGAAGCCTGTACGGCTCACGAGCGTCTCGGCCGCAAGTGGCGGTGTTTCGTACCACAAGTGGTACGAAGTCCGTCCAACTTGTGGCAAGTTCGTTAGTTCGTGCTACTTGTTGGACAGACTTCGTGCCACTTGTGGAAAGTGGATTTTTTGAAGGGTCATTCACAAATATGACAATTCCGTTGGATCCTGTTGCTATCTATTTCGTCAGTGCTTTTCATTTCAATTTCATGTGAAGAAGAAAAAATGAATTTTATAAGATATTAGTAATATTAGCATATTAGTAAATGTCATCGAACAAACTTTTTATAGTTCACACATAAATACTCCTTCCAAACGTAAATATACATATTAATAAACTACGGATTCCACAAAGAATTAAGCGGAAGTTTTTTCTTAGTTTAGAATAAAAATAAGATTTTTTGGTTATGTTGCCATTTTTTAATTTAAAATACATGAAGAGGATTTTATTTTTTAAAATTAAAAGTATATTTTTATGAATATTTAAGATTAATAAAGATGTCAATATCATTTGTTTACACTGAAATGTAATCTTTTACATATATTTTCAATTAAAAAATAACAAATTCATTTTTATTCAAAAACATTAAACGGACTTGCCCGGATGAAATTATACTTGAAATGAAAAGCACTGACGAAATAGACGGCAACAGAATACAACGGAATTGTCATATTTGTGAATGACCCTTCAAGAAATCCACTTTTCACAAGTGGCACGGAGTCTGTCCAACAAGTGGCACGAACTAACAAACTTGCCACAAGTTGGACGGACTTCGTGCCACTTGTGGTACGAAACACCGCCACTTGCGTCCGAGACGCTCGTGAGCCGTACAGGCTTCCGTAGCTACCCGACTACTCAAGGCCTTTCTCCAATAGGATCCTAAACTCTTGCGTTGCGTATGCATTGCGTCGGTTGCTATTGGCAACCAATGCTAAAATCAACGCGTCAGTCACGCAATGCATACGCAACGCAAGAGTTTAGGATCCTTTTGGCGAAAGGCCTTAATAGAGCGTCCGTCCGAGTGCTAAACGAGTTACAGAATTGGGAAGTTCAATTGACGGCATGCATGTAGGCGTGCCTGCAATTTTTTGGTATTTGATAGAATTTACGTTTTCAACGTGTATGTCTAGACAGGCTGCAGATTTTATAAAGAAATATTTGTATTTATTTCTTTAAATATTCTATAAAAAATAAAAATAAACAAAGGGTTAAAAAAGAAGTGACCATATTTTTTTAATGATATAATTAATTTTTATTTGTATAAATTTATACTCGCTTTCTGAAACATAACCTCAGAATGTATATAAAATAAATTACTTTATTATTAAAAACAATAATAATGTTTTAAGTCATAAATAATATACGTTTACAAATAAAAATTAATTATATCATTAAAAAATATGGTAACTTACCTTTTTACCCTTTGTTTATTTTTATTTTTTCTAGAATATTTAAATAAATAAATTCAAATATTTATTTATAAAATCTGCAGCCTGTCCAGACATACACGTTGAAAAAGTAACAGAACGTAAATGCTATGAAGTCGGTTCTATAATGTATGTGTACGTGAACGCGACGTGCTGACGTGAGACGCATGAAAATCCCCTAAACTTCATATAGCAGAAATGCCATTTGACAGAAATTTATATAACAGAAATTTTATTGGACAGAATATTTACATGGCAGACAATTCATATAACAGACTTTTCATTGGACAGACGTTTGATTGGACATAATTTTTATCGAACAGAAATGTCACTTAACAGAAATTTTATCTGACAGAATTTCCATTCAACAGAACATAAGTATAGCAGAACTCTCATTGGATAGAATATTTACACGGCAAACGATTCATATAACAGACTTTTCATTGGGCAGACGTTTGATTGGACAGAATTTTTATCGAACAGAAATGTTACTTAACAGAAATTTTATCTGACAGAATTTCCATTCAACAGAACATAAGTATAGCAGAACTCTAATTGGTCATAATTTAACTTTTGCATCATACATTCTCATTCCTGCTTTATTTTTAACTTGTCGGTAAAGTAGACGTAGAGGTCAGTAGTTGCTATTTCTTTCTCGCCCCAAAGTTTGAATATTAAATAATAAAACTAATATTTTATTTCATTATTATTGATAATGAATACCTAATAATTATAAGTAAATAAAATATTAGTTTTATTATTTAATATTCAAACTTTGGGGCGAGAAAGAAATAGCAACTACTGACCTCTACGTCTACTTTACCGACAAGTTAAAAATATAGCAGGGATGAGAATGTATGATGCAAAAGTTAAATTATGACCAATTAGAGTTCTGCTATACTTATGTTCTGTTGAATGGAAATTCTGTCAGATAAAATTTCTGTTAAGTAACATTTCTGTTCGATAAAAATTCTGTCCAATCAAACGTCTGCCCAATGAAAAGTCTGTTATATGAATCGTCTGCCGTGTAAATATTCTATCCTATGAGAGTTCTGCTATACTTATGTTCTGTTGAATGGAATTTCTGTTAAGTGACATTTCTGTTCGATAAAAATTCTGTCCAATCAAACGTCTGTCCAATGAAAAGTCTGTTATATGAATTGTCTGCCATGTAAATATTCTGTCCAATAAAATTTCTGTTATATAAATTTCTGTCAAATGGCATTTCTGCTATATGAAGTTTAGGGGATTTTCATGCGTCTCGCTGACGTCACAATGTTAAGTCGGTTCTCCAATGGGCACGTTTGTACGTGAATGTATACGTTCCGTGCTGACGTCACCCATTTGCAGAACATTGTGACGTCAGCACGTACACGTTCACGTTCGCTTACAAACGTGCCCATTGGAGAACCGACTTTAAGTCGGTTCTACAATGTACGTGTACGTGAACGCGACGTGCTGACGTCACCCATTTGATTAACACTGTGACGTCAGCACGTCGCGTTCACGTACACGTTCATTGTAGAGGCTACTTTAATCAAATGGGTGACGTCAGCACGTCGCGTTCACGTTCGCGTCGCGTACCATGGATTGTAGAACCGACTTGAAGGCCTTTCTCCAATAGGATCCTAAACTCTTGCGTTGCGTATGCATTGCGTCGGTTGCTATTGGCAACCAATGCGTCAGTCACGCAACGCAAAAGTTTAGGTTCCTATTGGAGAAAGGCCTTAAAATACCAAAAAATTGCACGCACGCGTGCATGCATGTCGTCAATAGACCTTTTCATGCTGATCATTCTGTCCTCTTCCAACTCATGCGTCATTGTATGCGCTAGATAAGGACAGAACGACCAGCATGAAAAGGTCTATTCAACTCGATTTTGCTACATTTAGCCTACGTGTGTACGTGCCTTTGGGTGGCCCATAGGCGCTTCCGTAATTATACGTAGAAAAGCACTTTTACCCATCTCTGCACTAAACACCTGGAATAGTCTTATAATAATAATGATAATGTAAACATGCAGTGTCTGATATTCATTTCATTATTATGGTACTTGAACTTAAAATACATAAAGTATTTAATAAATAAGAAGTTAATAATCTCTTAGTGTGTTTTATTATAAAAACTATCCGCACGTGCAAAATAAATTTAAAAAATAAGAAAATTTAAATCATTGTACGTTAAAAGTAAACATAACCTAAAATCACTATTATCAGAAACGTATTAAATTTTGGTTTATTTTATTAAAAAATGACGTATCAAAAGGGTTTTTACGATCATTTGTATAATTCCTCGCAAAAAATCAATCTTAATGATTATTTTCAAGAGTATGCGTCTCTGAAGAAAAACTTTTATAGTGGTGAACAACCAAGGACGCAAAAATCAATTCTTGAGACTATGGGAGTGACAATTGACGAAGAAGAGTTGATTATGCTAAAAGAATATTGTAGTATTGATAATTTGACTGTTCCTGATGAAGTTGAAGTGTCCCGTCATCATAGATCTCTGTATAAAGAAATTATAGAAGGATCAAGTATTCCAGCGGGTATTCCGCTCCAAACATTGAAAGACTTAAAAAACACCGCTAAATATACAAAAGCAACATGGAGAGCCACAAAATATCGCAGCGAAATAAGTATAAAATATGATGATGCAGATAAATCCGATCAACAAATTGCATCTCCCGGTGAAGAAGTTTTGGTTTACATTAGAGTTTACGCGCCCTTTAAACATCGAAGTTACAACAAGTCTTCTGCTCAATTAATAAAAGTTTCTCTGAGCAACATGTTGGTGATTCTTGGTTCACAAACACTGGCAGATGTTAGGGATAAAATATCGTGTTTGTGTGATCTTTCCATTGCGACTGATGTAAGCAAGAAGCCAGTTTTGAAAGCAGGACCTTCTGCAAAGGAAGTCTATAAATCGGGATTCTTTTTCATTGAAGGGACATTTTATAACGACATGAGGGGTCCAGAGAATAAAGACAACAGTCTTGTCATTAGGGAGTGGGCAACTGCTCGCAACATTGGTTCTTTTGACACAGCTCTTATGGAAGAGACGCGTATAGATTCTTTGAAAGTGAAATTTGGATTTCCATGGGTCTATCAACACCAAGGAAATTGCGAGCATCTAATCGTCTTTGGCGATGCGAGACTGTTAAACTTGAACGATGATTTGGCAGTCTCTTCATATCCAAGGATACATCGAATAAAACCTTACATTAATAGATATTGCATGACGTGTGGTATTTTTAGTGTTCGCTGGATTACCACTGACAACGAACGACTTCCTCATGATCCCTGTTTTTTCTGTGAATCGTGCTTTAAATCCTACAATTATATACAGGGAGAAAAAATTGGATCTTTTTCTGCGTATCCCTATCCATTTCATGCTGAGTTGATAGAAAGGGGAATTAAAAACAATAAAACCAATGACTCTGCAAAAAAATAAACGATTTTTATAATGTTAAGTTTAAAATACAATCTTATTTGGAGTTTGTTAATAAATGCATAATCTAATAATGAATTAACTTTTACAGGCAGTTCGAGTTTAGATTCTGGCAGCGAAACTGGGACCGTAACAGATACATTTAAGCGATCGTTGAGTGCACGTGATACTCGAGCCAGTTCCAGTGCCGGTACAAATAAGGTCTTCCCAAAACTTGGTAAACTGGGTGGAACCATTGAGGAACCAGCTGACGTTGATAAAGAACATCCGACTTGTCAGACGCTGGTCGTGGATTCCAAGCAACTTCAACTTCGTCGACTCGAAAGCTACGACGGTGGCTTAATCACACAACCGGGTCACGAGCGAGAAATTTTGGCAGCTGTACTGGAAGTCAAGGTCGACTTAAAACTTGAGGTCCAACGGGTGAACCAGAAACTCGCAAAAATCGAGGATTTGCTTCAGTCTTTAATGAACAGAATACCAGCACCTGTTGCAAGTCCCCCGCACGGTGCTGGGGTTTCTTCACAAAAAAGACCCACAGTTCCTTTATCGGGAAACGGGACTCAACCTCTCACTGCTGTTCCTGTTTCCCAAAGTGGCTCTGTTGGCCCAGGATCCGGAAATAATGGAGCTGAACTGATAACAAGCCCAACGTCGAGTGCAACATTTTTAATTAGAGAAAGGTAAAGGGAAATATTGTGTAAAAATATTTTACAAAAGTTTTGTTTATCTTGTTATAAAAAGTGTGTCCTTCGGGAGTTTGCCCTCGGAAAAGACCAGTTTTCGTCATTTTCGCGCAGAACATCATAAAAGTGAAAGAGTTGGCCAAGTTTTCAAATTAGGACCGCCTTTTTTGAAAAAAAATGTTAATTTGAGTCTTGGTTTGAACATATGGTTTAAATTGTCACTTCTAATCCTCAATCGTCCAAAACATTCACAAGTCCAAGTTTATGAGGGTCCTAATAAACGACACGTTACTGTATAATTAACAATTTTCAGAATCTACAAATTCTGACGATTTCAATGATACGTAATTGTTTTTGGTATAAAGTAAATTTAAAAATCCTAAGTTTATTGTGTATTTACAAATTAACTAAATTATTATAGGTATTATAATTATTATAAACTACTATTGAAATCGTAATAAATGGAGATTTCAATAATAACATTATAAATTTTGTGAGATCAAAATTTAAAAACTTCCAACTTTTTACAAAGTCAATATCATTTGAAAGTCCCTTTTAGGTATAAAGATCATAAATTACCCTTTGGCTCATGAGGGCCTAAAGCCGAGCGGAAATGTAAGAGATAAAAAAAAAGAGAAAACTGCGCGACCGAGGACAAACTCTCGTTGAACAGAGTATAGAGTTTAATACCGTTAGACTGGGTTATTTTGCTCACCAAGTTATCTGCTTCAAGTTATCTTTAAACTAAAATTTGATTGTTTTAGTCACTGTGACGCATGGACGAAAATTCAATTGTTCTCGTAGAAATTTCCTCTTATTAAGGGGTTACACCACTGTAGAACACAAACTATATATTATTATTAGGTATATGTGACGCGCTCTGAAGAAAAGGACCTTAGAAGCAAAAAATTATAGGTTACACGGAGAGAAAAATCTAGCTTTTATAGCATGATAAGGCATACGTTTAACGCATGAATCTTTTCCATGCTACTATAGTAGAGAAATTCTAGTAATATTAGTAAGAATTCATACGTTATTAGTATGATTGGTATCCATGCTTAAAAGGTTTGAGAAACATGCTTTTGTAGTATGTATTTAATACTTTAAATGCATAAGCGCCTCGCGCAAATCGTATGAAACTGAAACCTACTACTATTGCAGGAGTCTCATGTTTTTTCGGTATTAGAGGCCAGATTTTTCTCTCCGTGTATGTTTTGGAATTTTTAACTGAAAATACATAAAGAGGATCAACTTTCAATATACTCTTCCCTTACAATAAAAAAAAATAAATACTGATATTCATATATGTACAGTGCCTCGACGCGATAAAATAAAATTAAACGTTTAAGCCACATGTCACAATAGGGGGAGGGGGGGGGGGTTAGTGTAAAACCACTCTTGGCCACGTAGGGGGAGGGAGGGGTCAAAAAGTTGCAAAAAGGGGACCACGTGGTTTATGGAAAGCCCCTTATCACAAAGTAAACTGCATTATCATCTGTGCTTTTGACAAATTTTTGAGATTAGGTATTGGATGTGTTTTACGGAAATATCACGTTTTTCATTATAAAATTACAAAAAAGTCTAAGTGCTATAGTGAATTAAATAAATTAATTAAATATAAAAATGCCATCTCCTAATGCTTGTTGTAATCATTTTAATATCGATAAAACATAATCGAATTTACACTGGAATTGTTAAAGTTACTGATAAGTGGGAAAGTTTACATTCAGATTTAATTGAGAAATTTATTTGCACTTCGTACAGACTAAAAATTAAAAAACAAAATGCTGCTGTTGTATTGTTGTATGTTTTTCGATATTAAAAGGATTACAACAAGCATTAGGAGATGGCATTTTTATATTTAATTAATTTATTTAATTCACTATAGCACTTAGACTTTTTTGTAATTTTATAATGAAAAAAGTGATATTTCCGTAAAGCACAAGATATTTTTTGGATATTCGAATGATATCCAATACTTAACCTGTCACCTGTTATAATTCTACTTTACTAATATGTAATTTGCATGAAAAATAACAAAACGAAAAATTGGAAAATAAAATCTAGAAGCTGATAAATAAGTAAACAATTATATTTGTATTAAATTATTTATTAAATTCAATTAAAATTATGATATTTTCCCTATTATATACTGTAAGCACGCTATAGACAGTTGCGAGAAATTATAATTGGAGCTTTTAAAAATGTTTTCTTTAAATAATAGTTATAACTTCTCATTTTTCAGACCCTAGGGTACCTTTCTGGCAAAGAAAAAAAAATCAATTTTTTGAAAGATCTACAGTGGTTTAACCCCTTAAAATAATAATAATTACAAATTCAACAACTAAAGTGAATTTTTTATTAAAATTCTGAGTTGATCCATAATTTTTTGAATGTAAAGAATTAAACTAGTAACAAAATTAAAATATAATCATTTAGTGATAGTACCTAATAAATTAAATTTAACAATTTTGTATACTTAAATTAGAGATGCCGACTTTTTTTTACAGTGATCAAGTCGCATCGACAAGCAGCCGTCTCACACCTAAACCTTTAGATCAACAAAAACCACAGCAATCACAAGCACATCATCATCATCATCACCATCATCATCATCATCAACCAATCGAAAAACATAAGGAATCTGTCACCGAAAGACTAAGTGGCATGTCGTCAGATAGCAAATCTTCAACAAGAGAGATTAATAAGGAACTTTTGGAAAGATTGGCACAAGTTTCTAGTTCTCGTGAAGAAACAAGTGCATTGGGTCCTCTCATTTTAAGAAAACGAAGAAGTAAATCAAGAGGAAAGGGTGTGGCGCCTCTTGCACCTTTAGCAACTCAGTCGGTGAGTTTGATGGAAGCCACGGAAACAACACAAATGTTGGAATCAACTGAGGACCGAGAAATGAGCACAGAAAGATCAAGTAGAGCCGAACGAAAAAGACCACCTCCTAGGCCTAGAGATTACTTGTGAAATTTCTTATCCTTCCAAATAATCTTCTTCAAGGCTAGTGGATACATTGAAATTTTTCAACAATTTCAATCACCTTCGATTGCTTACTTCCTTTGAAGGTTAAATCTTCCCACTCAAATACACTGCGTAAAAGTTTTGAGCTTCCTCAGCAGATAACGAGACAAAATGGAAATGCGTGGTTCTCAAATTTTCGACCAAGATTTAGTCGCTTTTCCGCGACTCGTAGAATAATCATCATAAACGAAAGTGCAAATTGTATAAAATATTTTATAAAACGATAACAATGTAGAAAGTTATTAAAATCATTTTTTTCAAGGATGTCGCGTTGCACTTTTTGCTAATATAGTTGACATTGAATTACAAGTGTGCGCTCTGCCAAAAACACAGTTGACATATGTATATAGAGAGCGAGATGCACTATTTTCAAAAATAAAAATATCGCATTAATCAGAAAAAGTTCATCTCGCTTTTTGACGGCTTCTTCTTGACATCGAAATTATTCAAAGAATAATTTTATCGTGCTGTTATTTACTGCGAATAAATAATAAGGAATAGATTTAAAAGGCGTCTTAGAGAAATAATGTATATTAAATGCAGTCGATTATACATATACATATATATATATATATACAACATATCCACACGGGAAAGCGCTTACAATATAATAAGACCTATCGTGTGGATTAAAGAGTTAAGGAATCATTTGTTATAAATCGAATAAGAAAGATTAGAAACCAAATTATTGACGAATCAAAATTTAAGGCATTTTTTTAGAATCTCGATTAAAAGCAATGATTTTAAATGTTCTCAAGTATTGTAATGTATTGGGTTACTATAAGTTTAGAAAGTATTAAAATGTAATTTAAAAGAAAAAGTTTTAATCTGTTAAAATTCAAGTATACAATTTAATTTAAACCTTATTTTTTATAATCTAACTAATTCACAGTAAATGATTTATTAATTTTTTTCATATATTTCATACTTGACAAATATTGTGACAACAATGTGGTTCATAGATGAAACGGAAAATTTTCAATATATAAACAATTATTGTGTATATTTTCGATATTAAACTACAAAAAAACTAATAATATAATAAATATTATAATATTTGAAATCATTTTGCATTTTATTTCGATGTTGGGTATATGTGAGTACGCATTATTCAGCTCAGGAATTTATCTTAATTAAGAAGGTAATATATGATATCAACTGGGATACTCTTCGCCATGAGGATATTCTTTTTTTATTGAACGCTTATAGAGCAAAACGCGTCATTGTACTGACATATTAAACTCGAAAGTCTAGAAAAATATATGAAGAAATTATAAAGAGCTCACATGATCTTTGTGCTGATACTACGTAACTACGAATTTGTATATTCTGTATGAAAACTTATAAAATAGTTAGGAAATATTCTCGTACAACGGTGCTCCGACCATATTTTGCAATTAATAATAGCAATAATATTATAATATTTATGCCATGTGGGATGCACGAGAGAAATTTTTATCGATAATAAACTATAAAAGGAGCAGAATAAGTATATGTATATATTTTCCAAGGCCGTAACTGGAAACGCAAAAAATTAGTGTGCACAAAATTTACAAAGAAATTTAAAAAAACATTAGAAATAATTCATTCAATTACTTTCTTCTTTGAAAAAACCATATAATTTAAAAAATATTTTAGTTCTCTTCAAATTAGTCAAAATTATTTCAATTATAGCTTTATACTACAAGTGACTAATATGCCCAAGTGTGACATACCTATTTGGTTGAAACTTGTCAAACTTTCAGAACTCGCAAAAATAATTAATACGTATTTTTTCTTATCGGCAAAGAAGAATGGAAACCACCCCCTATTTTACTCAAAAACTGTAAAGAATCATAAAAATATGCGCGCAAACATTCAGTGAAAATATTTGCTCTAAATGCCAAGTTTTATAAAAATTTTACAACTTTTTAAAAATTTGGTCCACAATTTTGAATTTTTTTAATTGTATTATTTTATTGTTATGCTTTTTCAAGGTTTTAGAGTAAAATAGAGGGTACATAGTTTCAAACCTTTAACCTTCTTCTTTTCTGATGTGAAAAATTACGTATCAATTATTTTTGTGGGTTCTGAAAATGTGACAAGTTTCAGCCAAATCGACATGTCACACTTAGGTAGGTTTATTTGTTAACGTTTATAACAAATTATAGGATATAAAAATAGGATTAAAGACAAAACTTGCATTTTGACAAATTTCTTAATAATTTTCAGGCTAGTTACGGTCCTGGTCTTATCACATTTTTATTTCATTATACATGTATACAGAGGTGGGTCTGATGAAAAAAAATTGAAAATGTGAGCCAAATTAGAAGATAATATTGTGATACATGATGTGCAACAATTTCTTTACTGCGGTGATAATATTATTTAACCATATATTTTTCTAAGATACAATTCTTTGATATGCTGTGAATTTAATAATACCTTATATGAATTTTTCAATTTCCAAAACACGAACTCTTGAAAAAAAAAATTTTTTATTTTTCTTACCCAGATAACACGTAAGCTTATACTAAGAAATATTGCTCCAATCTTTTAGAAAGAGTATACTGAAAACTTGCAGCAAAGCATTAGTATATTGCGGTAAGCTTGCATCAATATTTAATTGCAAGCTTGAAGCAAAGTTACAATGAAGCATTTCACGGCAAGCTTGTTTCGATGGGACAATTTGCTACTTGCGGCAACATTACTGTGCAAGCTTGACAATCTTTCACGATAAGCTTTCCACAAGATTAGGTACGTGTTATGTGAAAAAAATGTTAGTCATGTAATAACTTGTAAATTAAGAAAGACATGTTATTACATTTTTTTATAGAGCTCGTGTTTTACATTTATTAATCAATAAATTTTCATTTAAGCTTTTTCTTTTCTGTTCAAAAGTCGATGATAATTTTATTGGTAAATATTCAAATAGCACAGCATCAAATTTTCGAAGTAATATTGTATCAAATTTATCAGGCAATATTGTCTTAATATAGCCGAAAAATATTCGCAATGTTTTAAACAGGGTTTCTACATTACTATTTGGCTGAATTTTCAGAATTATTTTAAAAAATATAACTTTTAATAATTTAATTAAGTACTATTATTTTCACATATTTCGTAAATTCAATTATTTTTATTTCTATTACTCGATTTCGAAATACTACTTTAAAAAATTCCAGTATTGTTATTTTTAAATTACTATTGTTAGAGATAAAGAAATTCTTCGAAAGATATCTTTGATGTTATACGAAAAATTTCTTACATGGTTATAATTCAATTCAATTCAATTACAAATTAAATATCAAGATTTTACTACTTTAATTTATCAAAATATGTAAATGTAAAAATTGGTTAGTCAGGGAAAAAGTCAGGAAATTTTAAAAATGAAATTTTGCGGACATCTTGTTAAATTAATTTAATTTTAAGTTAAATCACAGAGAACTCATAAAATTTTCCAATAAAAAATTTTGTAGAAACCCTGGTGAAAATAGATATGTTGTGCCATTTAGGTAAATGTTTTAAAGTTGTGGAATTGTTTATTATTTTTTATAATTTTTCGTATAAAAAAAAAATTATGAAACAAATAATTTCCAATAGTATAATTCAGATGAATCTATTTCTGTAATATTTTATCTAAAAACTTGACATTTCGTTGAGTGTTCTTCGTCTAGAGGAAAGTACTCTCTTTACTAAAGCTATTAGGAATTGTAAAATAATATTTCAATCATTATTGCAAATATGTACAATCACTACTTTCTTGTGATATATTAACGAAAATGAAAGTGAACTAAGTTCGATTACAACTGAATTTCATTTATTCTTCTAAAAACTACTAGCAGCAAATATTATATTACAAAAATGAAAAATATATATTAAGCAAATTTTTTCTAAGAATTTTTGAATTTTTAAATTATTAATTAAGTCATAATTTTTCCTTATTAATAATAATATTGCAAAGAAGAATCGCTATATAAATTTCCAAGTAATATTAGAGTATAATAAGAAACAATTTCCTGCTATAATATAGAAAGTAAACATGTATTGTTTTTTTAAAATCATTTTTGAGTACTTTCCTCTGTTGACTTTTAATGGAAAGTGGAAAACTTGAAATTAAAAATAATTATTTTTCTATCAACCGTTGAATCTTCAGGGGATCGTTGAGCGATGGAACTGTGCGTACCAAAAAAGGACCTATTGATAATATATTTATTAATTCACATAACTTGCACGCCAAATGTCGTGTCGTTTGAAACAGCAAAACTAGTTGTACATATAAAACAATTACACATATTAAACGTGTAAATATTGTATGTAATTTACTATGCATTCTCGAATATCTGCGTACGTGTACATAAAAAGTTCAGTATTTCAAAGAGGAAGAATTTTAGGTCGTAATAATGAATTATTTATAAGGAATGTATTCAAGTTAGCTCAAATATTTATTTAGTTGTTTTCATCTTTTAAATTTAAAAAAAAATTATATCATTGAGACTCTGAAATAATAATTCACAATGTTTATCATTTAATTATATAATTATTATTAAAATAAGTAAATTTCCAATTAGGTAAGTTTTGAGATTTTTTTTTATTATTTTAACCATTTCATTTTTTCAATATCTATATGAATAATCAAAATTATCGGTTTGAAAATGGTTTCCTAAATATTTCAGCTAACTACATTTAATGCGTAAAATGATTGTACTTTATATTAACTGGCTCCTGTTCGTGTTACTCAGACGAGGAAAAAAAATGTTTATTCAATCGCAAAAATATATACCTTGTTAAACAAGAAATTAATTTTTATTAGGTCTAAGTAATAAATTGTGTATGTGATAATAGTCAATGAGAAAATGAAATAAAATTTCAAAAACACTAGTGATTAAAATGATTTTAAAGAATAATTTTGTAAATGCTTTATATATTAGGGTAGTCCTTATTTAAAATTTTTTTGAATTTCTATACTTTTGGAAGCAAAAAAGGCTTCTATAACAATAAAAAAGATATTCTTCGAGTTTGATCTCTTTATATTAGTATTAAGCTGTGCCGACAAACGATGGAATTTCCCCATGTAAATTACACACTGCTCTCTAAATCTGAATTAGTAAAAAAGTAAAAATGTTTACTAATTGGAATTAGTGACTCACTTTTTACTTTAGAATTAGTTAAATTTTACTAATTGTTAGTAAAAGTTACTATTAATTAGTAAAATTATATTAATTCAGAAGCAAAAAGTGAGTCACTAATTCAAATTAGTAAACATTTTTACTAATTCAGATTTAGAGAGTGGATAAACAATTTTTTATTTCGGCCACAAAACAACAGATTTCAACCATATAATTTAGCAACTGTTTCGCAAAATTTTTACAGATTTTTAGGTATTATAGTTTTAGAATTAAAGCTATATAAAAAAAAATTTTTGAGAAAAAATTAGTAACTGCTTTAAAATAATTAATATTTAGTTTATTCTTCCACAATTTTTTAATAAATTAGTTTTTCGATTTTTTGGAAGACGTAAAGGTAAATTTTAAAATTTTAGACAACGTTTCGGTGGTCTGGTTCGCCACCATCATCAGGTCACTTTAATAAAAAATATATTTAAATAAATACAACACAAATTTAAAATCAAAATTACAACATTAAACAAAAAATTAAAAAATAAATTTTTACCTAATTAAAATCAATAAATAAACATCAAATATTATATGATTTAAAAAAAAGATTTTTCTCTAGTCTGTCGATAGAGGCATTTTTGGATTTGCTATAATTATGAATCTAAACTTAGGAATTCAAAATTTCGGGCAAAAAGTTTAAGAATTTGACTTTTCATGAAAATTGTTACTTTGGGTTTTTTGGTATCACAAACTTGATTTGGCTATTATAATTTTAGAGTTTATTTAAAATGAAATGACTAAAACACCCATTTTCAAAGTCAGATTCGTTTTCGGCATACACAGACTGTGTTATTCATTTTTTATCAAATTTAGGGGAAAAATATTTTACTTTTAATTGTAACTTCAAAATTATAATACCTGAAAATGGGTAAAAATGCTGAGGAACAACTACTATTATAAGGTTGAATTCTTGTGACTTTTAGTTAAATAATTATTTTGACCAAAATAAAAAAATTGATTATTTGGTGCCGAAAACCTAATGTAATTTACATGGGAAAACTTCCATCGTTTGGCGGTACGAGTTAATATTAACTAGTAGTAGTTTAATTAACTAGTAGTAGTGTAGTAGTAGTAGGTTATTCATAAGTACATTTAATTTATGTTTTAAATTATTATTTCATTACTATTTTATAGAAAAAATCTCGATTTTGATCATTTTTATTGAAAGGTAAAATGACAATTGTTATCATATAATAATTCATAAAAATATGAATTAAAATTATCGCTTCTAACGAAAAAACACAATGCACTTTGAAAAACTGAAATATTTATTGTAAATTTTTTTGTATTTTTTAAATTAAGTAAACAATTCAGATTAAAAAATGTGATCAGAATCTAAATATTTTCTCACTATTAAATTTTTTCGATTATTATAATTATAACAACAGTATAGTAATAATTATAAATTATTTTAATTTTTTTTAATTTACAATTTTTACATTTAATATTGTTTTATTTAATGTACTAAAACAAATTTATCATGTCTGTTGACTTAAATTCTGATTTTTGCACAATTTATGCAAAAAGCTTAAAAAAAACTTTTGTTGAAAAACGAAAATTTTGTGGTGATATCGGTTGTTTTTGAATTTAATATAATAAGAAGGATATAAAGAGTTCAAACACGGGGAATATATTTATTCCCTACTCTAATATATATATATATATATATATAATTTTATCATCAAAAAAATAAATTTTTAACCGTCCTAGAAGTGAAATAAAAATATATTGATAATCAAGCTTGAGTTACTGAGAGACCTAATAAAAATTTAATCTAAACTTGTCCTCCATTTATTCAGAAATTATAAAAAATATTTATTTTTCCTATTTTTACATTTTTGATGTTCAAGATTTTAATCCGTGTTAAAATTTTTTTTAACTATTTCAGGAAAGTACACATATCTGTCGATAAAATTATAAAATTATTATTTTCCAAGTTAACTTATATTACAGTAGTCTCGATTATCCGAGGTAATGTGGGGAAGAGGCGCCTCGGATAACACGGAATAAATACCTAAAATTCAAAAATTTTTATAATTGTTTTATGTATTTAATATGCTACAAAGAAAATTAATCACAAATGGATATAAAGGTTAAAATCTAATGAACGTAGATTAACTTTTGGGTATAATTATTGTTAATGCATATCGGTTCCATCCGTTTTATCCGAGTTTTTCCGTATTATCCGAGCATGCACCTCGTGTTTAGTGCCTCGGATAATCGGGATTCTACTGTACTTATTTAAAAGCGAAAATATTATGTACCTACTATTTGAAATTTATGAACCGAAACGCGTTTTTACACTAAAACTTTCATTTTAAAAATGGTCAATTGATGAAATAAAAATTTTTTACTTTGATAATGAGTTCAAGAAATGTAATATATTCGTGTTAGAATACATTTTTATTTTTTTTTTTTTTATATACCTATCTAAAATATAGGAAAAGTATTTTATTTTCTGTATATTTCAAATAATTGGTGGTATTATGAATACCACAAACAGGTAAATTTTATATAGAGCCATTAGAAAACATTATTCTGGTTGTTGATAGTAAGAGGTATCAAAATATCAATTTCTTAATTTCGCGACGAAAATCAACAGGAGATTAAAAATTTATTGAGATATACGTGAGAGAAAAAATATATCAGTGATTTATAGTGAAAAGATTCCTGTTATATATGCGGCAAAAAGAATTATATCCAAGTTATACTTAAGAGTTTGTTATTTAGATTTTAGAGGCAAAAGGACGATATTGCTGGCTCCAGGTATTGTAGTTTCATAACTGAAGCAAAAATTCAATTCTGTCAAATCTTTAACAGCTGTGCAATTATTATTATTATTATCATGCATTGAGTAATCACAGACTTTTGTACTAAAACTAATTACACAAAGTTATATAGGTATATATTTATAATATTTATGAGTCAGTAATTTATTGGATTTTGACTGGTTATTTAAAAATAAAATTTTATTTTATTTCTTATAATTAAATTAATATACAGGGAAACTTGTAAATATCTCGAAAAGTACGCATTTTCTTGAACAATTTTCAATACAGAAGTTGTTCCCAAGAAAAACATCCACATTTTCGAACCCAAAATATTGGGCCCAGGACCCAACAGTGAAATAAGAAGTATCACGAAAATGCGTACTTTTCAATATATTTGCAAGTTTCCATACTTTTTGAATACCCATTTATAAGTAGGAGGTTTCGGATATTATTTGTTTCTTCAAACTTTATACGTTTTTAAAAGCATTTATTATTCAAAAACTGTTCATAACATTAGATATTAAAGCTTACAAAAATTGATTCTATTAATTTATAAATGATGAAATTATTATAGAAATATAATATGGTTTTTAAAATGAATATTTCGATAAAAATTTCATCATTTTTAATTATAAAAATCAAATAATTTATATTTTCGGTAAAAGTTTCAATATTTAATATATTTGAAAAAGTACAAAATGTTTGAGATAGCAATAAATAACATCGGGAACCTCCGACTTGTAACAAATTATTATTATAATGTTCGAGTTTAATCATTTATTTTAAAATTCGATTTTTAAAAAATATGATTGCAATATATAACAGACGAAAGTCAATGAAATGAACTCATACATTAAATTTTCTCGCCTTCTCTTCTGTTCGATTTCAAATTAAATGTCGACGTGAAAAAGAGTTATTTATTCTGCGAATAAAATATGCTGCTCAATATTTATTTCCTGAAACTGTATGATAAGTTTTTTTAAGTCTCAAAAAAATAAGCGTACCTATATATTATTAGTTATTAATTAGTATGTTTGTTTTATTTTTGTTTTGTTTTACTCAGTTTTACTTTTTGTAAAAACGACGCAAATATCGATTATGACTTTTATGCTAGGAGTTGATAAGCTTCCCGGCTGAAAAAACTTGTACAAGAAAATGTACAAGTTCTTGTACATGTTCATTAATGAACTTGTACATTTTCTTGTACATGTTCAAGTAATGTTCTTGAACAAGTTCAGCATCTGGAATTGAGACATGTTCTTGTACCAGAACTTGTACAAGATCTTGGATAAGAAAATATACTTGTACAAGAAAATGTACATGTTCTTGTACATATTTTTTGTGCAGCCTTTAAAGTTTTTAATTTTTAATTTAAAAGACATAAGTGAACATGTACACGAACATGTTCCACATCTGGTACAAGAAAATGTATATGAAACCTGCACAAAAAAATATGTACATTTTCTTGTACAAGTATATTTTCTTGTCCAGGATCTTGTACAAGTTCTGGTACAAGAACATGTCTCAATTCCGGATGCTGAACTAGTTCAAGAACATTACTCGAACATGTACAAGAACTTGTACATTTTCTTGTACAAGTTTTTTCAGCCGGGTTGTACATATAAAATCACTAATAATTTTAATGTAGGGGAGAGTGATAAACAGTGGGACAGTTTAAACAGTAGGACACTTTAATTTTCTGAAAAACTACTTAAAGAAACTCGACCAAAATTTAAACGTAAACCATGTTTATGACAACACACTATCTCCAAAAATTTTAGCCACATTGATTCATTATTTACAAAGAAAATTGAAAAAATAGATAGGACAGTTTAAAAAAAAAGTATTTTGGCAACACTGATTATAAGTTGTGTCAGCTATACGCATGCGCATTTATACTTACACAGCGACTAAAAATGTGATTTTTTTAAGCTAAAAAACAATAAAAAATTCAAAATTTATAATTAATAATTATTACAATTATTGTTCGGGAACATTTAAAAAGTAACACTTGATAAGAGAACGACTATTCAAATTTTGCTCCATATTGTTATGAGGTTATGACCAAATTATGACGTATGATCAGCAATACATGTAAACGCGAAAAAAAATAATAGCAATTTTTTATATGAAAATTGACATCGTATTATAAAAATGTAAAATATTATTCAATTATTAGTGTTTTGCAACATTTGTTAACGTTATTTAATGCAAAAAATATATATATTTACAAAGTATGAAGCAGAATATTATTATTGAAATAATTATTCGGTACTTAATAATAGGTGTCCCACTGTTTAACACAAACCTTCAAAACAAGAAAATTGTATCAAGTTTGAAAAACTTGAAATTTTTTTATTTAATCAGAATATAATCTTAATAGAATATGTGCATTGTGTAGAAAAGAGTTCAAACTTTATGGTAATACCAAAAAGTCTTCAAAAATATATAAAATTGACATATTAATATGTCTTTGAAAAAAAAGTGTCCCACTGTTTGTCACTCTCCCCTATATAAGTTCCATGATCAGTAACAGTGAGTGAAAAAACACATTTCTTTTGAGTGTGTCTTATTCGTAAATTACCTAAATTAATTATAAAAATTGTCTTACCTAAATTTTGCTCACAATCTGCCTGGAACGCGTCGTTCTTTTATTTTTTTTATTTATTTCCAAAGTGCGTGAATCTCGAAATATTGAATTATTATTTTCAAGTTTAAAAGAATTAAACTTTATCTGAATTAAATTTTCGTTTAATTAATAAACGCATGTAAAAAATAAAGCTATATCTAAATTTTTAAATAATATCTGAATGCAGATTATGAGTAAAATGAATGAATTATTTATTGTCAATGCAGACAAAAGTGAGAAGAACGAAATGTGATACTCTTTTTTATATTATCTACTTTGCAGTAAAAGAGCAATTGTCTTTGTGCAAGGTGATTAGGAAAAATTCAGTAATTCACACAATTATTATTTTTAATATTTATTTTGATATCTTTATTACTATATTTTAATTAATTACAAAGTATCTACCAAATTGATAATCATTTTAATTTAATTTCTAAAAAGTAAAATATAATTTTTGAGGGCTTGAATTACATATTTGACCCTTGCACAAAGTTCAAAGAATAATAATAGTACATAATATAAATGATGCTCTATTTGTTACGAGAATTCGTCTTATATGGCGAGTGCTTGATTTTTTTCAACTGCTCCTTATTATATGTTAGAGCATAGGAGATTATAAAAAATCTAAAAATTATAAATTGCAATTATTCTGAGTGTAAGCAAATTTCACAACCCTATAATACTAAAAATGATCACTCTGCATATACGGGGGAAAAATCATAACGTGTCAGCTTAATAAAATTATGTAGATACTCTAATATTTTTAGTAGTGTAAGTTATTAAAACTTTACTATTAATTTTAATTTTTTAATACATATTAAAATATTGAAGCAAAAGTTGTAGAAAAAATAAATAGAATAATAGTTTATCTGAAAAAATAATTTTATTTTAACCAAATCATGTTGGAAACTATTTTCAATAAGAGAAATTTAAAAAATGGTCATAGAAGCTTATAAATTTTAAACGAGCACTTTCAGAAATGATTATACGTCTCTCATGATTTTATTAAAAATTACATTTCACTGCCACTCTTCGAACTATATATTAGGATGTATTAGTAAACTGTATTAGTTTGATGTGTTGTAATTTTTTTATGACGATTTCTTTTCAAATGAAATTTCTTACATCTCATAAGAAATTTTATTTTTTTCCACCACTGCCACTGCTTTTTTCTAGGATGTGGATATAAAATCCAGGAGTTTTGCATTCCTCAATGGATTTAAAATCACCATAAATAGTGTGCTTGGCTCGATGATGAAAAGCTTCCATAAGCATATCACGAAAAACGGTCAACTTGTGAGGATAATAGGATAATCTAAATTGACAAACGCTGTCTGATTGATTGCTATTTTCCTCATTTAAAGCTATTATATAGTCCAGCGTTACTAAAGTTGGTTTTCCACTTGTGAACAATACGGATGTAATAATCTGCTGCAAATGTTTACTCTGAAAAAATTATTTATATTATTATAGTAACATGTTAGAAAACAATAAAGAAATTAATTGCATTTATCTTACATTATAATAAACGCATTGTGTTGGCGTTTCTCCTGTTTCAATTGCATTGTCATAATTTCTGTGGTCGATTAATAGCAATCCACCAGGTTTCACACAACGTTCAAAATTTGACAATGCTTGCCTACATTTGAGTTTTCAATAATGCGAATTAAATAATTTCATTGATTAAAATGAAAAATAACTTTTATACTATCACCCAGTTTAAAATTTTTTTTACCAGTTTCTTTATGAAACTAAAGTTACCAACGTTGATTCAACGAAAAAAATAAATGTTAAAGATTCTAATTCTCATCAATGAAATTTGTTTATTTTCAACCCTCCAAAACCTGAAATAAAAAAAAAAGGTAAGAAAACAGTATTTATCATTGTTTTGTCACGGATTTTCAAAATTTCAAGTAAATTGCTATTTCCTTGCCACGGAGGCAATTTTTCTCATTTGATAATTATTTATTTCAATGCTAGAAGCCTTTTAAAAAACATAAAAATTGCTTCCGAGGCGAGGAAAGCAGTGATTTTGATTTTTTTTTCACAGATTTCCCGAAAATCTCTAAATTTCAAGTAAAATGATATTTCCTTGTCTCGGAAGCAATTTTTCTGTTTTTTAAAAGGCTTCCAGTATTGAAATAAATAATTATCAAACGCGAAAAATTGCCTCCGAGGCGAGGAAATAGCAATGTACTTGAAATTTCGAAAATTCGTGACAAAACAATGATAAATACTGTTTTTTTACCTTTTTTTTATTTCAGCTAAATTTCATTACCTAATGAGAATTAGAATCCTTAACTTTTTTTTCGTTGAATTAACGTTGGTAACTTCAGTTTCATGTTTCTTTTCAATTTTCTTTCGAAACATATAATAATTTATAGTACATAATTATATATTGCAAAAAATTATTTTCTTATTCTAAATACATTTTTTACTAGGTATGTATTTTTTCATAATAAATACATTTCGAAAGACAATTTTTTTATTTTCATTTTTAATCGAAAATGAAAAATTATCATATCTTACAAAAAATATAATCCTAATGTAAAGTGTAGATTTTTAATTTAACCCTTACTTGTTACACCTCTGTGGAATCACAAATAATTACTATACACTTGGATCCACTGGGTCTCAACAAAAATTGTTAGAAAATAAAAATTATTGATTATTTTTACTTGGAAATTTTTTTAGAACTTATTAAGATTAAGTGATTGTTTTGATTTCATTTGTAAATATTCTCCGCAGTTTTTCTCGCAAAATATTTGACAGAGTGAGCTAAAATTTTGTGAAAAACTCAAAAATAGTACATATAAGGAATCACTGTTATGTACCAGAGTATTAATAATTTATCAAAAAATTTATAAATGTTATCTTTATTTATTATTTATTTATTATAAATGTTATCTTCAAAATTAAAGTAGACGAAAACTGGGACAACCACGTTATTGAGTTTTCCCCAAATTTGCAATTTTTTAAAAATAACTGTTTTGACAAAATATTAATAAACTTTGGTATAGATGACAACAAATCCTCATATTATATGTTCTATTTTTGAGTTTTCCATAAAATTTTAGCTCAATATATCAAATATTTTGCGAGAAAATCTGCGGAGAATTTTTACATGTGAAATGAGCCAAAAGTTCTGAACGTTCAAATGAACGAAATATTTTTTCAATCTATAAATTATTAAAAATTATGATAACTATGTAAAATAAAATAGTAAATTAAACAGTTACTAAATTAATAACTTCTTTTTAGATATTTAAAACAATATTTTGTTATAAAATTCGTACTTAAAGAAATTACAAAAAAAATTTCGTTCATTTGAAGGTTCAAAAACCTTTGGCTCATCATGTGAAATCACAAGAGTCGCATGATCCTAATGAATCATGTAGGCAGTAAATTGAAAAGAATTTGAAGAAAAAATAAGCCTGAGGTCCATTCGACCGCATAGTGACAAATAAGGGTTAATTTCAATTTTATAAAATATAATTTGAAATCATATTAATTTTAAACGATTTTAAATAAAATGCCTCAAATAAATAATAATTAATAAAAATTGAAATTTACTTGCAAAAAACCATAATGAATTCGTTTAGTACTTATAAAATTAATAATAACAATAGTAATATAATAATACCAAAGTGTAGACAGAAATTTTAATATTTATTATTAAATATTAGTTTTTCTGTAATATTTTTCATAACTGAATCCTGAATATTTTGTTATATATTTCTTTACCTCTGTTCTCTTTGGTCACCAAAAGAATCAAGTAAATGAGCAAAACTATTCCCTAAACAAATCACAGCATCAAAGCCATCTTGTATCAAGTGGGAGATATCGTCGTACAACGTCAACCAATTAGCTTCTTCAATCACTAAAGCATATCAACAATGTTATTAAATTATTATTATCATTGAACATTTTTATGTATTAATTGTAATTGTCAAATTAAAATAAATTAAAATGAGATTTGTAATAATACATATATAGGCTATGAGGCCTGCTATATATAAAGACATACGACAAAATTTTTGATTGTCAATCTCTGACCCCCTACAATGTGATAACATAAATAGTGCTTTTTTTAATTTGCCCTCGAAGATGAAGATAAGAATAATTTTGTTTTCGTTGTAAATTAATATGAGTGGGCAAAATATATGTTCCTATATACTAGTTATATATATATATATATTCAAGACGATTAATAATAATGATCTTTCACAATCATCCTTGTATTGTTTTCTCACTATTGGCTACGAGTTTTTAAAATGATATGAAACTCTTGACAAAATTTTATGCATAATATTTTCTCATTCTATTATTTCATATCTTTCTTTATTATAATAAACTCATGAATTTCGCTTTTTCAAGTCTTTTTATTTTCACAAAGCCCAACGTGAAATATTATCGTTTTTTTTAGAAACAAACTTTTCTTTAAATAGAGTAACTGGGTATATTGAGACTTACCCCATTTATCAAAAGCTGCTTCTTTCCTTCTGTTCCATCTAGATTTCAAAGCATATTTTAACATCTTATCTGAGGCATCAACGCTAACTACCTCAAAACCTTCTTCTAATAGCATTACAGAATCGACTCCTGTACCACATGCAACATCTAAAATTCTATGACATCCTCTTTCTCGAAGAAGCCCAACAAGGAAATCTCGATAATTTTGCTTTCTCTGATTTTTATCGCCTATAAAAACTTCCCAAACTTTGGCTGCTGTTCCATCTGCATACTGATCTCTTACACCTTCCGCCGCTGTTCCCAAAGAACGAGTATGAAATACAGTATCCATTTTTCCTTCTTTCTGAAAAAAAATTCCATCACATTTTCAGTAGGTATCGGTCGTCATGATTTTTAAACACTTATTTCTTTTATGAAATAAACGTCTTTAAACCGATGAAATATAAAAAAGAAAAAATTTTCACTAAAATTCCGAGCTGTATTTTGTCAATTTTTCAATAAGACATTTGCAGAAAATTCAATTTGAAATATTTTTTTTAATTTAATGAGAGACCGGAAGCAAGACTTCATGATGTTCCAGCCTACAGTCATCAAAATAATAATATTTTTATTATTATATTTATAAATAGTACAAACAGAACAAAATTTAATATTTTTAATAATCTATTTTAAATCTTGCATCGCAAGCTGAAAGCAATGTAAGGAAAACTAAATTTTATATTATAGAGGTGAAAATTCAATGTAATATTGTCTAAAAATTTTCCCAAACCTTGTGGCCTAATATTGTCACAGATTTACCATTCCATTTAATAGGAATTTATTATGACACATAACATAACACATAAAAACTGAAACATAACGTATTCTTAATAATTTTTAAACATTTTTTATTATTTGATATTAAAATAATGAATACTTATTACTTTTAATTTATTACTAATAATTTAAATAAAAAATTTTTTCTGAAGAAGAATAATTTTTAAAACTTGAATAAGTTCTAAGCTAAATAACTTATCTTAATTTTTCTCACCGAGGTTATATAATAAAATTTGCTCAAAATTTAAATAAATCCCCACATATTTATATATTTTTTCTAAGCTAATTTTGAAATTTAAATTAAATAATAGTTGATTTTTCGAATTATATTATTGATCCAATTTTGCGGCTTATATATTTTACAACGGTAAATAACAATTTGCATATACTATGTAAATGATTCTAAATAATTTTAGTTGTATATAGCAAAAATTAACATTAAAATAAGCCCAAGGACATTAAAAAACATTAATTGTTTTCAAAGTAATTAAAAATTGAACTTTTCTCGAGTATGTTTAAAAATTCATTAAAAAAACATTAATAAACCTCATAATTCAAATAATCAAAATCAAAAAAAAAAAAAAAATATTTTTTTAACTTTTTCTTGAACCAATAATGTTTAATATAATACATATTGCAATTCGAGATTTTATTTTAAAAGTAAATCTAGGTTTTAGTATCTTTACTCTTTATTTGTCTGACTATCGAATAATTATTTACTATTTAAAAACTGGTGCAAGTATAAAGTTTTGCTTTTATTAGAAAGAGTTTAGAATTAGGGTTATGAAATAATTATATTAAAAATAATTCACAACCAATTAAATTTGCTATTAGAATTCTAATGTCTTTCTTAAGTTTAATAAAAATATTTTAAGTTTTTTTTCCTTCCATCCTTGCATATTTACAGAAAATATGAAAATTATATAGAGTAATTTTTCATTATCACAGATAAATGACGAAAGAAATCTGGAAGTTGGCGGATAATAATTCAACATATGTCATAAAAATGAAAAAGGCAAAAAATGAGATAAGATACTTTATGGAATAAAGATTAAGAAATAAGGAAATTGAATGGAAAATAAACTTTGTTTTTCATACCAATTATAATTCTTTTTTTTTTACTTGCAATTTCCCACCAATGAAGAGAAATGAAAATGTCTTGAGAAAAAAAGAGTAGAAATGTGGAGGAATACTGACACGAGTTGGAGCAATCAGACAAATATATACGATGATAGTTGAAGCACAAGTGGGTTGATAGGGTGGGGATTCATGATAACATAAAACCCTAAAAAGCAAGTGTAAATATGAATAGTTAATTTCTCCATATTCTTATTAAGTATAAACAATATATCATTATATAACGTGATAATAAAATCTCTTATTGATTTCCATTTTTCATCGAATTTGTGTATTTCAAAATTTCAACAATTCATATTCATTTACAATTCTAATTTTAATTTCACAAGTTTTTTCTTCAATGTCATAATCTTAAATATATCTTAATATGGGAAAAATTTAACTTTTAAAAATGTAACATTGTATAAATTGACGTATTTTTGATACGAGTTTTTTCAATCCATAAATTTTTCATCGTTAAAGGAAAATAAATTATATCTCTAAATAAAGAAAAAGAAGAAAAGAGAAATTAAACGCGCATAAAAAAGGTAAAATAACAACTCAGACAAATGCAAGAAGAAGACAGGAATTCTGGTGTAAAATTCTATAATTAGAGTAGCACAAGATACATGATGCATATAATAATCCCACAGGTAAATATGTATTTAATAGAATGTTTCGTCGATCTTACCATTAAATTGAATTTTTAAAAATTCTTTTCTGAGTTAAATATCCAGAAAGGTCTCTACAAGATCTCGGGAAATTAGATTTTCAATTCTACTTCAACTTATATATCATTTCGATAGTTAATTCTGTAAAAGCAATTTAAATGAAAATGATTCATCTTAGTTTAGTAATTTTATTAAATACTACTGGTTATTTTCGTGAAAATTTCACAAGAAATAAGACAAATTATTTAAAAACTCTTGTGACTGTCAAAATGTTTGAAAGAAAGAAGGCGAATATTTCGAGTGTAAAAATACAATTATATTTAAAAATGAAATAGTTAAAAGCCGAGTGTGAAAAGAATAAATTTCAAAAAGACAGCGATTTTCAAGAATGCGGCAGTAGTTGAATAAATTAAAAATGGACTGTATTGGATCGCAAATCCTTAAAAAGTAATTTGACAGAATCCAATCCCGGCAGTATTTGTATGCAAGTAGGCGTGCATAGGCGTACAAATGTAGTATGTCAATCAGTAAGAGAAATTGAATTTCTAAAATTGTACTTTAAAGGACGTTGAATCTAATAAGCTATGGGTATATGCAACAAATTTGCGAGTCAACTCCAGTTTAACATTTTTCTTGCAACAATCACTACAAATTTTGTTGCTCGAAACATCCATTTCAAACTGTCTCCAATATTCTGTCAAATTCATAAATTCGTTTATCTACGTGTCGTTTGTTTTTTTACCGAATAAAGTCCTCTCAAAATTTCTGCATCAATTTCACTAATTTCACTCAGCAAAATAGTTTCCCGTTCATGCGAACAACTTTATTTCCGTGACAAAGAAAAAAATTGCAAAATATTAAATATATAATCTCTTGGGAAATTGAAAAATTAAACACCACCCAATCATAATTAACGTAAGAATAGTTTGTCAAATTATTTTCTTATAGGGGTTTGAGAGTGTGAGAATTTAATTCTCAAATTGTGAAGAATATTTTAAGCTTCGGCAGAAGCAATATTAAAATTTATTGTTAAAATCTAGATCACATTTTGTCAGTTAGTCGCATGAACTGGCATTATAAACTCATTATTTCTTTGCACGCCTGTTTTACTTTTATTTCGTAAGAGTCTCTACCCTCATATATTCTTTAAATCATCTGGCAAGTCATTCTTGGGATGCTTGTTTTCAAAATGTTGTTTATACGTCTTCGGATCTGGCATTTGGGCCTGTAATGAAAACAAATATCAAACGATATATATTTTTCAAAATTTAATATTTCCAAATTAACAAACTCCTACAATCATGTAGATTTACAAATATCTTTAACCATTTTTCAATATTTCAAATTATTTCCATACAATAATTATTACCGACTACGAAAGGTACGAAAGTTTAACCTAAAGTATCGATTGTTCCATTGAATGAAAATTACAACTCTTTCAAAGCGGGCTCTATTAATATATCCACTTTAAAAATAACTGTATTAATAAGTAATAAATTACGAACCTTGCAAACAATGCAAACATGCACAAGAGCTTTTTGGGCAGCTTTTTTTTGGTCATTAGCACTATGGCCTTGTTGTTTCTTCACTTTAGCTGCTCTTTCAGCTGCTTTAGCCTGTGATTGAAGCTTTTGTTGACCTCGAGCCATTCTGAAAACAAAAGAGCCTCCATAATCTCCAATTCCTTTTTATATAAACACATTCTTTTATAATAGAAATAAATACACACAAACTTATTCCAATGTGTAAAATAAAATTACATTCCTCAAATATAGAGAAATAATTGTCTTTCATTCATTTATGGACGTATATTTTACAATATAACAATTTTTAATATTTACTACAAAAAAAAATCTTTGCAAAACGCAGACTAGCCATACTTAAAAAATATATACAATACATTACTATTTTCATTTAATTATATTCAAAATAAGAATCAATTAGAATTGATATAAAAAAAATGGTTGTGAATTTTAAAAAAATCGAGTTCAATGACATAAAAGTCATCTAGGGATCACACAAGTTCTGAACACGAGGTGAAAATAAAAGGAAATGGTATAATGGCGTAAAATATATACGGAACGCACGTGTGCTCAAATCTCGTTTATATTACGACTGTAATTAAAATAGTAAAGCGCAGTAGAGTACTTATACCAATGAGATATTTTAACCTTAAAGGTTCAAAAAGGAAATTTTGTTAACAATGACACATTTGAAGGTGTGTGAGTGCAAAATCTAGTGCAAAATACGCATCCTTAAAAAAGTAGATAATTCCTTTTTAAAATGTACGAATAAAGATTATTTTTTAAAAGTAAAGTTTACTTACTTTTCAGTACGGATAAAAAGCAGTTATTGCCTTATGAGAATTACGCGCTTGAATACAAAATAGAGTTTAGATTTTTTTATCAACGAAGAAGAAAACGGAAAGATAGTGAAAGGTGGCGCACTGAATATGAAAATTTTAACAGATGTCGAGGTTTTTCAAGAAGCACTCATAGACCACTTAAAAACTTGAAATTGGTTCTAAATATTAAATTGAATACGTTTTCTTATCCAAATTTCAACAACATATTCTCAAATTTTTAAAAAGTGACATATGTGTAGTTAGTTAAAAAATAACTTAGGGCCTACGCACAATACATTCGCATTTGCAGAATAAACAGAAACTCGTTTGTAGTGTTCTAAAGACAGTAAATTACGTCAAGAAGAGAAAGAAGATTACGGTAATTTACCGGTAAATTACCGGATCGTTTTTTCTCTGAGAATTTATGAGAATTTTTACTTGTACTTTTATCCTTTGCTGACACGTGCGTTGTCATGACAACGTGTATGACGAGGATAAAAGTACAGACATATGTTCCTGACTGTATAATTATTATTATAATGAAAAATATCTTTGTTACAATATATAATATATATATTAATATATTAATATTGATATAATATTACATTATTATATTGAATCAGGTACATTTATATGCCTGCACTTTTATCCTTGTCTAACACACATGTTGCCATGACGACGCACGTGTTAGACAATGATAAAAGTGCAGGCATATATACCCGACTCTCATCTTGTCAGTAAGAACACAGAGAAAATTAGGGTGCAGTCCCATGGAGCAGATTAGCAGATTAGACGTTGACCAATAAAAAAACAGTCTCTAACGGAAATGCAAAATTTGCCGCGAGAGATAAACTTTTGATTGGCTGAAATCTATTCTGCTAATCTGCTCCATGGGACTGCACCCTTACAGTCTATTATATTCATTGTTCAAATTATTCATTTAATAACATGTCGGTCCGTTATTTATAACTTACATACTATAAAAATACATATTTAAATTTAAAAAAGGCAATTATCAATCACTTAAATGAATATTCTCATAAATTCTCTTTTTTTCGGTAATTTACCGCAATTTTCTTTCTTACATTCTCAGGTTTCAATTTTACCGAGAATTTTAAAACACTACTCGTTTGGGAACGCAGAACAAGAGGTAGAGAAAGGTAAAGAAAGATAAGGTAGTTAAAACTTGGTGGGGGAAATTCAAGATGGACGAAAACTGATGCATAACTTTACATTGACGGAGCATTTACACCTTTGGTAAAAAAATTTTTTATTTTTGAATTTTCCGAAATACACAAACCTGATTGGTTGTTCACAATCTGATTGATAATGGACAACCAATCAGATCTTTGCATTTCCGAAAATCAAAATAAAAAATTTTTTTTACCAAAGGTGTAAATGCTCCATGAGGCTCAATCTCAATTTTTTACATATCACGCTTAAATGAAAATTTTTAACCAAATTATATTGCAATTTTGTTTTCTAATTCTAAAAAACCATTTAATGTAATAATGAAAAACGATTTTATTTTTTTATATGCTTTGTTATTGCATTAAATGGTCCTTTTAAAATGGAAATTAAAATTCCAATATTTTTAGGATAGATATTGTCTTTCATTTTACAGCCATATTGTATTCTCCGCTACACTGTTAAGGCCTAAGCAGAATAGATTCTTGAACGGGAACGCAATCGTAAACGGAAACGTAAGAATGAGTAAGAGAAGGATAACAAATATCTTTATTCTTTTCTCACTCATTCTTACGTTTCCGTTCACGGTTGCGTTCCCGTTCAAGAATCTATTCTGCTTTGGCCTTTAGAAAAATCTGTATTAGATTTAATATACATGCGTATAAAGCGAATATGCACTACAGGTATTGAAATCTAAGATACATGTATATTAAATTTAAAGTGACAACATGGCGGCTGTAGATGCCTATTTCACCAAACGGTCATTATTTCCTTGATATTGAAAATTTATTTGAAATTGAAACAACAGTGCGTAATTCTTTAACTATTGTGTTGTTTATGTCCAAATAATGTTTTATAAGGGGAAAATTTTTCAAAAAAAACATTCTAAATACAAGAATTTTAATACTTATATGTGACATTTAGGTTAAGTACTATAAATGTCAAATTATATGCATTTTTACAATGTAAATTGATTTAAACTTGTATTTACATGAAAGAAATTACTTTGCTTTATTAATAAAAACCTTATTTTGTACACAAGAACATGTATAAATTGAGTAAAATGCAATTTTTTTATTTGAATTTTTTTCAATGACAAAATTTAATATACTTTGTATATGAATTACACTCTAATATACCAGTTTCTTAAATTTAAGTACTTTATGTATATTAAAACTACAAACATTTTTAACAGTATACTTAAGGTGCTTTTATACCTCCAGTATTTTGGTCAGGCAATCGGCTGGATTGAATTTTCACGGCTGTATCACTGAATTTGATTGGCTCTGACTAATATTCCATTTCCACCGTGAAAATTGAATATTTTTAGAGCCAATTAAATTCAGTGATTCTCCGTGAAAATTCAATCCAGCCGATTGCTTCATCAAAATACTGGAGGTATAAAAGTACCTTTAAACTGCATACTACTACTATACAGAGACATAAAGCGTATGGCAGAAAATCATGAGTGCAAGAGATATAGACGTATATCACTATCCCTCTTAAGGAGACGCATGAAAATCCCCTAAACTTCATATAGCAGAAATGCCATTTGACAGAAATTTATATAACAGAAATTTTATTGGACAGAATATTTACATGGCAGACAATTCATATAACAGACTTTTCATTGGACAGACGTTTGATTGGACATAATTTTTATCGAACAGAAATGTCACTTAACAGAAATTTTATCTGACAGAATTTCCATTCAACAGAACATAAGTATAGCAGAACTCTCATTGGATAGAATATTTACACGGCAGACGATTCATATAACAGACTTTTCATTGGGCAGACGTTTGATTGGACAGAAATGTTACTTAACAGAAATTTTATCTGACAGAATTTCCATTCAACAGAACATAAGTATAGCAGAACTCTAATTGGTCATAATTTAACTTTTGCATCATACATTCTCATTCCTGCTTTATTTTTAACTTGTCGGTAAAGTAGACGTAGAGGTCAGTAGTTGCTATTTCTTTCTCGCCCCAAAGTTTGAATATTAAATAATAAAACTAATATTTTATTTCATTATTATTGATAATGAATACCTAATAATTATAAGTAAATAAAATATTAGTTTTATTATTTAATATTCAAACTTTGGGGCGAGAAAGAAATAGCAACTACTGACCTCTACGTCTACTTTACCGACAAGTTAAAAATATAGCAGGGATGAGAATGTATGATGCAAAAGTTAAATTATGACCAATTAGAGTTCTGCTATACTTATGTTCTGTTGAATGGAAATTCTGTCAGATAAAATTTCTGTTAAGTATATTTCTGTTCGATAAAAATTCTGTCCAATCAAACGTCTGCCCAATGAAAAGTCTGTTATATGAATCGTCTGCCGTGTAAATATTCTATCCTATGAGAGTTCTGCTATACTTATGTTCTGTTGAATGGAAATTCTGTCAGATAAAATTTCTGTTAAGTGACATTTCTGTTCGATAAAAATTCTGTCCAATCAAACGTCTGTCCAATGAAAAGTCTGTTATATGAATTGTCTGCCATGTAAATATTCTGTCCAATAAAATTTCTGTTATATAAATTTCTGTCAAATGGCATTTCTGCTATATGAAGTTTAGGGGATTTTCATGCGTCTCCTCTTAAGGTGCTTTTATACCTCAAATTTGCATCAGATGAACATTATTTCTGGACCGTGAAAATGCGTGAAAAGTCATTTTCACGGCGGGTATTTTTGAATTGTTTTAAACAAAAAATGTTTTTTTAAGTAATATAATATTAAATAATTGTTTAAATATGTAAGAACACTTTAAAATAGTGATAAAAAGATGATTTGATTAAAAAATTTATCTTTAAAACGTTTCCTGCTACAAGAAAGTATAAAATGACGATGTTTGTGAAATGGTTTGTACAGTGCTTCTTCCTTGTGAGTTTCTCTCAAAGTTTTGTTTATGTTTTGTCGGTTCTTTTTAACTTTTAATAAATAATGAGTGCTGCAAATAAATCGGTAAGTTGAATTGTTTATTAAATAAATTTAAATTCAACTAATTGATTCGAATAACTGAAAGAACCTTAATATACAGAAAGTATTTGAGAGATGAGTGGAAAATTGATTTATAACCTCAAATTTATACACGTACTTTTTGTGTTTTTAAATATCAAGTTTTATAATTACTTATGATTTTCATACGTAATTATAATTAATTTTCGAAACAATTAGTTGAATTTAAATTTATATAATAAACATTTCAACTTACCGATTTATTTTCAGCACTCATTATTTATTACAAGTTAAAAAGGAACCGACAAAACATAAACAAAACTCTAAGAGTCACTCACAGGGAAGAAACACTGTAGAAACCATTTCACAAATATCGTCATTTTACACTTTCTTGTAGCAGAAAACGTTTTAAAGCAAATTTTGCTAAATTTTTCAATCAAATCATCTTTCCATCACTATTTTAAAGTGTTCTTACATATTTAAACAATTATTTAATATTATATTTCTTAAAAAACCATTTTTTGTTCAAAACGATTCAAAAATACCCGCCGTGAAAATGACTTTTCACGGCCCAGAAATAATGTTTATCTGATCGAAATTTGAGGTATAAAAGCACCTTTAATATTTAACATTAAACATTAAATTTCATTGTTTAAAACATTGCAATTAAGAAGTGCACGTAAAACAGGCTATAGTTTTTCATGTTTTTGATCAAAACAGGTGTGCTTCTTCTGACGTTTTTTAGAAACTAGTTTTGTTTACGACTTTGTACTGAGAAAATTTCATCGATACTTGTGCTAAAGGCCTGAGCAGAATAGAAACGTTACCGGAATCGTAACCGCAAACGCAACCGGAATGATGAGTTGGAGAAGGACAAACAATAAGTCTATCCTTCTCTAACTCATTTTTCCGGTTGCGTTTGCGATTACGATTCCGGTTACGTTTCCATTGTGCTTAGGCCTTAAACCATTTGATTCTTAGCACTGATGGAGCATTTACACCTTTAGTAAAAAAAAATTTTATTTTGCTTTTTCCGAAGTACACAAATCTGATTGGTTGTTCACAATCTGATTGATAATGGACAACCAATCAGATGTTTGCATTTCGGAAAATCAAAGTAAACATTTTTTTTTACCAAAGGTGTAAATGCTCCATGAGCGCTAATAGCGAGAATCTGGAAAACGCCTATAGGTACGGAAGCCTGTACGGCTCACGAGCGTCTCGGACGCAAGTGGCGGTGTTTCGTACCACAAGTGGCACGAAGTCCGTCCAACTTGAGGCAAGTTCGTTAGTTCGTGCCACTTGTTGGACAGGCTCCGTGCCACTTGTGGAAAGTGGATTTTTTGAAGGGTCATTCACAAATATGACAATTCCGTTGGATCCTGTTGCTATCTATTTCGTCAGTGCTTTTCATTTCAATTTCATGTGAAGAAGAAGAAATGAATTTTATAAGATATTAGTAATATTAGCATATTAGTAAATGTCATGGAACAAACTTTTTATAGTTCACACATAAATACTCCTTCCAAACGTAAATATACATATTAATAAACTACGGATTCCACAAAGAATTAAGCGGAAGTTTTTTCTTAGTTTAGAATAAAAATAAGATTTTTTGGTTATGTTGTCATTTTTTAATTTAAAATACATGAAGAGGATTTTATTTTTTAAAATTAAAAGTATATTTTTATGAATATTTAAGATTAATAAAGATGTCAATATCATTTGTTTACACTGAAATGTAATCTTTTACATATATTTTCAATTAAAAAATAACAAATTCATTTTTATTCAAAAACATTAAACGGACTTGCCCGGATGAAATTATACTTGAAATGAAAAGCACTGACGAAATAGACGGCAACAGAATACAACGGAATTGTCATATTTGTGAATGACCCTTCAAGAAATCCACTTTTCACAAGTGGCACGGAGTCTGTCCAACAAGTGGCACGAACTAACGAACTTGCCACAAGTTGGACGGACTTCGTGCCACTTGTGGTACGAAACACCGCCACTTGCGTCCGAGACGCTCGTGAGCCGTACAGGCTTCCGTATATAGGCCTAAGCAGAATAGATTCTTGAACGGGAACGCAATCGTGAACGCAAACGTAAGCATGTGTGAGAGAAGAATAAAGATATTTGCTATCCTTCTCTTACACATTCTTATGTTTCCGTTTACGATTGCGTTCCCGTTCAAGAATCTATTCTGTTTAAGGCCTTAAAATGGGTGTTTTCGGCAGATGCTCCGGAGTGCTTTGGAGCATTTTTTGATTGTCTGGATCCAATAGAATTAATAGGTGATTGGACTATAAAATGTTCTGGAGTATTCCTGGAGCATCTGCCGAAAACGCCTAATATAACGTATATGGAGCATTTACACCTTCGGCAAAAAATTTTCTTCACTTTGCATTTTCCGAAATACACTTACCTGATTGGTTGTCCACAATGAATCAGATTCTGGACAACCAATCAGGTAAGTGTACTTCGGAAAATGCAAAGTGAAGAAAATTTTTTGCCGAAACTGTAAATGCTCCATAAGAGTGTGAGAAATAAAAAATATTCTTATTTCTCTCACTCTTATACGTTATATTATATGATATACATATAGGTAGCCTCGCTATACCGAGGTGTGACCGTACCCTTAGTTATTTAGAAAGCTCTGTTTACAATGTAATACTAGTTCTTATTGGTGGACATGTTGATATACATTTTGTTTTCTTTTCAATAAAATGTTTTAAACATCATTTAAAAAACATGAGTTTAATTTTAATTTAGTCTTAGAATACTAATATTAATTTAACTTGTATGGTTGGTTCTAATATTGAAAAATAATTTGTAAAATTGCTCACTTTTATTTCTGCATTTGAAATAACGCGGGGATTTCTAACCAATTACAGAATGTCGCTTGCGTGTGCATGCATAAAAGAAACAGTCTGGATAAGTTTAATGTTTTTGCGAACGCGAAAGGTTGTATGCACACACGTTAGTTTTTAGGAATACGTAACTGGATGTTTCTCCTGTTCTGAAACATGGCTGGCTCAGTTTATGTATTAGTGAAATTTTGTGTATAAAGACATTAAAAGAAGCTGTCTTGATCAGTAAACGTTTCATTTACAGAGACAATGACTTCAATACATTTTGTTGTACATCCGTTGCCTGGAACGGACGATCAATTAAATGAACGGTATGTACAAATTCGTGCTCTATACTCCAATAAGCTAGACTTCCATCAAGTCTAATCTAATGAATAATTACTGTCCTGTTATAATCAGTTGAACTATTTTCAATGTTTGTGACAAAAATAGTTATTTTATTATTTTCAGTAGTTTTATTTGCAGTTGCTTCTAAATTAAATAATCTCAAGGCTTTTCCAGTTTTCCTGTGATGCAATGACTTCATCTTTGATGATTAGCATTAACGATAGGAATTGTTAACCGCTATAAACTCCAATGTATTTTATTTTTATTCACCTTCTTCTTGTTCTGATAGTTTTCTTTATAAATTTCCTTAATATTTTCACCGGTTATAGTTTTATGCATGCAAGAAAAATTTATACGTAAAATACAAACTTTTGAACGTTTGCATGCATATTGATCAAGATATTATTCATAAATTCAATAATTTTAGCCTTTCATTGAACCAAATTATACGGAATTAGTAAGAAAACCTTTTCTGTTTTTTAATTGCTTATTTTTGTTGTTGGTTTTAAGTGTCATTATTATACACAGGTGGAGCGCAAAGATTAAAAATATTAATTTGAGAAGGATATTTTTTCAATTCTAACCTAACACCTTTCACTTGATTTTTTTTTCTTTTTCAAAGTTTCTAATAATATGGATGTACTATCGAGTTTAATTTTAATCGTGATAAGTTTGAATACCACACTTTATGGAATATGATGTTCTTACTCCATTTTGTCATTCTTACTCGTAAAATAACTTATCAAATTTTCTTGTATCTTTCTTTACTTTGAATGAACGTACAAATCCAATTAAATTCTTATCTATGTATTTATAAAATATAAATTTCAATGACTTTTCTATCAATTTTATGCAAAAATGTTTTAATAGAATTTTTAGTGTTTTTTAATTTTGCATATGAAGTCGGTTTTTTACTTTTTTCTTACTAAATATCTTTAAATTTACCCTATATTCTTAATTGGAATAGTGTAAAATAAAAAAATTTCTTTTTGATGTGTTTTTTTCAATCAACAGATATTTCATATTTTAAAGTAATCGAAATGAAATATGAGTCATACTTTTTAGCTTTGTCAGTATTAAATGTAATCATTAACAAGTTATTTGAAGGAAATGCAGAGTATTGTTTCTTTAACTCTTTTTAATTTGAAAAACATTTGCAGAACATAATTCAAAATTAATTAATTTATTAATGCACGTGTAAATGAAATTATTCGCTCATCTTTGATAAATTAAATGTTAAATAATGGAAATTATTTGAAAAGTATTGAAATTTTCATTTCAGATTGAAAGAAGTGGCAGAGAAGATTAACAGATATGGATTTGTAACATCACCAGCGCTTAACGGTCTAAAGACCTCCGTTAAGCGACTAGTTGTAGGACCTACTCACATTGCTCTTCTTATGGAGGACAATAGAATTTGTCGAGTTGCATTCACAGTTCTTTACGATAGATTGGATTTAAGAAAAAATGAACCTAACAGAAGGTATTTTTACAACATAAATTTGCGATCGCTTAAATTAATTTTTTTTAGAAACCTTTAATTTTCTCTCACCTTTTTTTTATAAGTTATGCAATTTGAAGTTGTAAGTCACCTTCTGCAATACACTTTAAGGAGTGACTTAAATAACCTTCTTTATTTTACAGAAATTTTATCAACAGATGAAAAGTTTAGTTTTTCTTTGACGTTTGAATGAACAAATTAATTATTTCCAATAAATCGATTAAAAAATGTTTACATAACCATTAATTATTATTACTTTATTCGTTGATTCTTTCAACATAGAAAATAATAAGTTCAATAAATATAAATTTCAATTTAAGGGAGTAGTCCACGTTCGGGCCGTAATTTCGAGCCTCTTTTTAGGGAAGGTTTGCGAATGAACTTCACGTGAAAATAAAAAAACGATTTTTTGCCTTTTAATGTAACACTCTTAACTCTTAAAATATTGCTTGAATTAAAAATAATATTAACACACACGACCTTGAAGCGTTCGTGACCGCCTGAATAAAAAAATATATATATTATTGTATTTGTTATTACGTTGGTTAGGTCTAGGCACGAGCTTTTTTAAAATTTTTTAAATTTCTCATTTTTACAGAGTTTTTTTCCAAAATAATTTATTTTTAACCGCTTGTGTCCTGACCTAGAGCAAAAACTTCTAGCCGAAGTCTTACTAAAATGTTTGAAAAACACGAGTTTTGGGAAAATGCGTTTAAACATAAATGATTGAAAAAACTTACGACTTAATTGTCTACACCAGGGCCGTCGAGTTCATCTTTCTCATTGAGAAGATGTTGCCGGTTTACCAGTTAGAAAAAGCATGGCATAATAATTTAACGAAAATAATGGAAAGGACCAAGCGCACGATCATGTTGGGGGTTCAATTACTCATTAACTAACAACTATTCCTCAATTTCCTTCATAGGGTACATTTCTAATAACCTCTAGATTATAAATATGCAAAAACAAAAAAATAGATTTTTTCAACCATCGAACGTGGACTGCTCCCTTAAGTATCTATAAAATTGATAAATAAATTAAGCTTTTCAATACTGTCTTTTTAACAATTAGATAACAATTTGAATTGATACACGTGTATATTTAATTAAAAATGTATTTTTTAAAAATAAATCTATAATTTTCCATGAAAAATTTATAGTTAAATATGAGACATTTCATTCAAAAATGATCAGTCGTCTCAATTTTTTTCATCTTATGTTTTTTGGTAGTGTTTATCGTAGCGAAAAATGTTTGATGTTTTTTTAATGTAAAATTGTTGAATTTTTAGAAAGTGCTTTTCAATTGGAGGAATCCATAATTTCTTTATTGTAAATTGTTAATATTATTTAATTATTTGTGTCATAATGTATCAATATAGGATATTATGATATACTTGCGTTGAGAGGGTTAAAATTAATTTTTTAATTTAAATAAAATAATATAAGATTTTCTCCCTAGAAAAAGAAAGTGTGCTTGAAAAAATATTTTTTGATTTTTGAGACAAAATATAAACAGAGAACAATTTTTGATATCTTAAAGAAGATGTTTTTTGAGGCTCATGATTAAACCCCAAATTTGTTTTTTCGAATTTTTATTTTCTCGAAAATCGTTTTATCTAAAAGGAATTGACTATAATTTTTTCAATTCGAATCGTCAGATTATATAATAAAAATACTTTCGAATTATTATTTGACAGAATTTTTTAACTTCGAAAGAACATTTTTTATAATTTTCAATTTACCGAATAATCATTTCTCATAATTATTATTGTAGAATAAGAAAAATAGAAAAATACTAATTCTCTACAATAATAATTATGAGAAATGATTATTCGGTAAATTGAAAATTATAAAAAATGTTCTTTCGAAGTTAAAAAATTCTGCCAAATAATAATTCGAAAGTATTTTCCAAAAAATAATTTGAAAAATTTTCTTTTGCTACACTAACCTCTAAAGTTAAATTTTACACACGGAAAAGTGTGTGTAAAGAAGCTCTTTTTAAAACGGTGTGTAAAGTGATTCACTTTACGCACTGAAATTTACTTTAAGCACCGAAATTTTTCTCGCATAATATAAGGATTGTTTTAGACCATACAAAACCACAAAATTAAAGAAAGAACTTTACTTTTAAATTTATACACTACTGCTTAATGATATTTATACAATCGAAATTATTCTAATAGAGAATTGGAATTCTTCATAATAGGTACTTAACTTTAGAGGTGGGTGTTGCAAAAAATGTTGTATGATACACGTGCGTAAATCTGATTATACGAGTGTGACATTTGCCTCGTGCTGCAAATATCACACTCGTATAATCACTCTCTTTACGCACTTGTATCATAAATAACTATTCTATACTTATAAAAATGTTTGCAGCAATATGTTAAAAAACAAAATTTTTACAGAACCTAGTGTACATCATGAAAAAGGCTTGGAATTATTAAAAGTTTATAAATTTTTCAAGTTTAAACATTTGCAATGTTTTAAATGTTTTGACTGTAATATTTGACAAAGTTAAGTACTTTTTAACGCATGATCCTCACTTTCGTGCATCGTCAAGTTTAAAAAATTTTTCTCGAAAATGATAAATTCTATTTTTGCAAATCTTTTATAAGTCAATTGTTTAAAATTAAATAGTATCAATTTAATTTTAAGCCACGGTATCTATTTTTATTAATAAATAGTAAATTATATTGTAAACTTAAAATGTAATAATATTATACAATAATTATTAATTAATAACTTAATTTAACACATTTTTTAAACAGTTTTAAAAATAAATAAATTGTTTTTAGATATCTGTCGTTTTTAGAACATATTTAATAGAGAAAGTTTATTAAATCATAATTACTGTCAATGTTCATTCATTTTTGTAAGAATAAAACGTAATTTTCCTAAACTCATGGTGAGTGATAGTTCTAATGTTGAAAAATGTAAAACACGTCAAAAAAATATGTACCGCCAACATGGGCTTTTATTGTACCCTTAATTTATTAAATATTTATTTTGAAATGTTTAAATTTGGCTTTTGCTGTAACTTGTATATGAGGAGAAAAGTGTCTGAAACTGAAAATTCAGCATTATAAATATTCATATTATATAATAATAATATAATCATATTATTATAATGATTTTTTAACTTTCTGAACACTGTTCTCTAGAATATGTTTTATTTTAAAGAACTTGCAGAATAATTTTCTAAGAATTTTCTCTCTTTCTAATATGCTGTTATGGTGCACACTTTGAGTTTGAAAAACTCAAGTAATCTATAATTTATTAAAAATTTCTTAACATTAACTATTCTTTTATGGTGGTTTTACAAAAAAATTATTTATATTAAAAAATTATTGAATATATTACCAGGGCGTCTAATAGTCAGGAAAGCAAATTTCCATAATATTTGAAATTTATTTCTGGTCATTTAATTAAAAACCTCTACTAAGTTGAAGTATGAACTTTTTGTGTTCATTTCATGAAAATTTTGTTAAACGATTTAAACACTTTTCCTAAACTTATCCGGTGCATTAATAATTTAAGTGATTTTTGACAATTGAGTTTAAGTTACCTTTAAATATTCTTCTATTTAAAAAAAATATTAAGCCATGACATTGTGATTAATGAACTAAGAAAATGTTCAAATTTAACATATTTCAAAATTAAATTTTTTAAAATTTGACTGCAACAGCGCGCAGACAAAATTCAATGAACTGACCATATATAATTTTTTCTTTGAATCCACAAAAATGGCTATAATAAAATGTACACCGAAAAAATTATATTCTAAATTTAAGAATAGGAAGTTCGGAACATTATTTTGTAACCTCAAGTTTTGTACTTTTATTATTTTATTTTTATTTATTATTCAAAGAGTATTTAATATTTGATATTAAGACTTACAAAAAGTATAAATTTCTTGATTCTGTACTAAAAAATAATAAAATATAGTTACAGAAACTTTCTTCTTTAAAATAATAATCACATTTCAAATTTTTTCGGAGCTTGTAATTTTTTTAGGACTTCCTAAAAATTTTAGGTTTTGAAAATATTTTAATTTTGGAATAATTTAGTTGATATTAACACTTGTCGTAGGTGTTTTGCTTTCTTTAATAGATATGTAATTTACAAATTTTTATATAAAAATGTAAATATATTTTATTGTTAAAGTACCACTTGAAGTCCATAAATTAATATTTCTTTCCTGAAATTTAAATTCTAGAGAAATAAAAATTAATCTTTTTAAATTAAAAATTTTTAAATGTTTTTTCCAAAACGTAGCAATACACCTACTTCAAGTTTTAATGGGAACTAAATTTTATCAATATTAAAAAATCTCAAATTTTTAGGAGGTCCTCAAAAAAATTACAAAATCTAAAAAATTTCAAATATTATTATTGTCTTATAGACGAATATTTCTGCAACTATTTTATCATTTTTTCGTACAGAATCAAGAAATTTATAATTTGTTAAGTCTCAATATCAAGTATTAAATACTCTCTGAATAATAGTGTTTTTTAAAAAGTAAAAAATTTGAGGTTGCAAAATAAGATCCGGAACCTCATACTTTTGATTATTAATTTCATAAAAAAAGAAAAATTTAAGCCATAATATTATGGCTAATGAACTAAAAAAATGTTCAAGTTTAACATATTTAAAAACTAGAAATATATCAAATCTCAATTTTTTTTCAAATTTAATATCTTAAATTAATGGCGACTGTTATTGAAAAAGCAAATTAAAAATAACAATGAAATTTGACTGTGCCTTATAGGTTAGAACAAGAAACTAATAAATCTAAGATTTCTTTTCATGCAGATTTTAAGAAAATTTAGCATCCGTCTGCCTGTCATTCACCGCTTCTAAGTCGAACTAGATTCAATGTAGGGTTAAAGTAGATTTATGTAGGATCAATGTATATTTAAAGTATCAAAACTTGAAGTTTTGTTAAATAACTTATTATTTTCAATTTAAATTCGGTAAACTCATTTAGCTTCCAAAACACTGCAAAAAACGAATAGTAAAAAAATCATAGACATGACTGGTCATTTTCATATGAAATATCCCGTATAGAAGAAAGAGTCCAAATCCAAAATGTTTAGAATATGTCAAGCAATTTAATTTTTCAGGAAAATTTAACATTTAAACTTACACTGTTAACTTTGATGCTTTAGAATTCGATTCGAACTAAGCTTTATACAGCTTCAGTTTTCACTTCTAATAAAATTTAATTTATTTCAAGTATGTACTAGGAAAAAAAATGTTCAATGAATAAAATGTAGTTAATCTAAGAATTTTTATGTGCACATTAAAAATATAATTTTGTTTTTTATAGTACCTCAAAAAGTCAAGTGGGAAATTCAACTTCTACACCAAGCGGAAGCGGAAACACTGGGACTGGAAGTCGAGCGGGTATATCACGTTCTCGAGCAAGAATAATGCGAGGAAGTTCAGCAATCAGAGGAGGAAGTAGTGGAAGTGGTAGTGGAAGTAGCGGAAGAATAGGACCGCCGGGAGTAATAATGGGAGGCAGCAGCAGCAGCAGCAGTACGCGACCCATCGTTTCTGTGCCAGCTCCTTTTGTTCCCGATGAATTGATTGCCCAAGCCCAAGTAGTTTTGCAAGGTAAAAGTCGAAACATCATCATGCGAGAGCTGCAGCGTACAAACTTGGACGTCAACTTGGCAGTTAACAATTTATTATCCCGAGACGATGAAGAAGGCGACGACGCGGAGGACGCTGCCGATGGCTATGTACCAGAAGACCTTATATCTCTTTTAGACGGTGGATTTAGTAACGAGCACTCTGTCATCATCGACGCAGATTCCATGTTCTCGGAGGATATGTTTGGCTATGGTGGAATAAGAAATCGCAGTAGTTCATCAAGAAGGCTTGGGAGTGACAGGGACGGAGAACGTTCAACGGAACGGGATAGGGACAGAGACAGTTTCAGTCGATGGAGGGATCGTCAGTATTATGGACCTCGGCGATGGTTGGAAACTGCTTTGAAAGACTCCTGGGAGAAGGATCCCGACAGCAAGAAAAAAGAATTGGTCTCACAAAGTCCACTTTGGATATCTGAAGAATTGGAGTGGTTCCACGAACGAATTGGCGAATCACCACCGAAATTTGTACAAATTGCAGCTCTCTACAGTGAATTGATAGGCGTGTCCTCGACTGGACAATTGTATCAATGGAAATGGGCAGACTCTGAACCATATAAGAATCCTGAAAATCCAAATATTCATCATCCTAAGACAATAAATTTAGGCCTTACGGGAGAAAAGATTGTCAATATTTCGGCGACTGCGATCCGCTGTTCCGTCAGTACAGAAAGTGGCAAAGTTGCCACCTGGTTAGACGATTTGCTCGGTCCTGTTGCTTCTCGATTAGAACACCCTGCACAAGCTTTCTCCGAATTTATTCTCGACAAGATTATATCTCTTCACACTTGCGCACTATATACAGTCGCGAAACTCGAGAGTGGATCTCTTTATTGGTGGGGTGTCTTGCCTTTTGCTCAACGTATGAAACTCTGGGAGAAATACAAGGCGAAATCTCGTAAACACAAGCCATCCACAGCATTGTCTGCCGAAATCAGCTATGGCACTCATGTCTGCATGAAGAACAGTCCCATCTATCAACCCGGAGCAATTGGTTTCACTATCGCCAATGGCGTTCCCAAAGTTGGACAACTGCTGTCAGCTGTTTGGAATTTGGATGCTATTTGCAGGTTCAAGATCCTTCCCCCCGGCTCACTGGCAAGTGCAGTCTCATCTGAGAAAAGGGAAACCAATGGCAACAACACAAATAGTGGTTCCAGCAATAAGACCATTCACAAGGAAACTGCCGATCGACTGGACATGCCTCCTCCTCCGTCACCGGCATCGAGCACCTGCAGTGATACTGGAAGCATTACAACGAGCCACAAGCGCCAAAAGAAAATGGCTCCGAAAAGCGAAAGCGAGCCAGACAGGAAAGACGAGGAGGACTGGCATTTGAAAGAAGTTGTCTTTGTTGAGGACGTGAAAACTGTTCCTATTGGAAAAGTGATTAAAGTTGATGGATGCTATGTAGCTGTGAAATTTTTCTCCAAGGATTCCAAAGAGAAGGAGAAAGAGAGCAAGGACAAAGATTTCAGTACCGCCGATTTCAAGGACCTAACAGCTGAAGAATTAATTAAGCTTCTCGCGGACTGCAGACTCCTCAGAAAGGATGAATTGCAAGTGATTAAACCTTCGATGAACTCTCGAGCTCCAGATTGCTTTCAGAGAACACCCAGACGAGTCAACATTCCAGAAAGTTCAAACGAAAATCTTCTCACTATCGCAATTGACGGACAAGGTATTCACGCGATCGTTAAGAATGGATTAAAGCTCACTTATGTCATCTACAATTTAAGCACCGGCAGATACGTTCAAGATTGCTATATTCCCTCGGACTTGAATGCATTTTTGGGTTTGCAACCTCAGAATATTAGTTTGACCAGCGCCGGTGAAAATACCGAGTGCTCGATGATACTTCGCGACGGCAACAACACCATCTACCCGATTGCGAAAGACTGTGCGGACGCGATTCGTGATTCCAATTGGCTTGATTTGACGCCTATTTTGTGTATTGGTGCTTCCACTATTCCACTGCCGAATATTCCTTCAATCAATTTGAAGAATCAGGTCGCAGTTATTGCCCTTGCATTTGATAATCTCATGTTGATGCCCCGAATTCTCAGGTGTGATTACGACGGCGTGAAGCAAATCTTCGCCACTTTGGAACAGGACTCAAAAGGATGCTCGACCCAGATTCAAGCCATTTTAACCGAACGTTGCGATGGTAATAGGAATATTCTTCACGCCTGTGTCAACATGTGCTCACCCACTTCGAACAAGGAAAACGATCAAGGAATCGAAAGAGACTTGGTAACGAATGCAGTCGACGCCAGTTCCGCTCCAATCGAGGAACCTATTCCGACCTTGAATTGGCCTCCTGAAGCTTTCGACAACACATCCGGTGAGGAGGACAGTCTCTTGAGTATCGGCACTGCCAGCATTTCAATGATGAACAAATCGGGCAACAACGCCGCAAACAATACCTACATCATCGATTCGGTTGAGAGGCGAAACAATGCACTCCTCATTCTAAAGTACATGTGTGACAATCCTGTTTTGGCGCAAAATTTGAAGGAACTGCTCTCAGCGAGAGACGCTCAAGGTCAGACACCATTGATGCTCGCAGTTTCTGCTCGCGCTTATCACGCTGCGCTCATTTTACTCGACACCATTCAAAGAGTCAATAGAGACGGTAAAGACAGCTCGCCTATGATTCTTCCTCCAGATTCCAATCCTGATTTGTCTCCTTTGTTCGTCACTTGCTGCAATGACACATGCAGCTTCACGTGGACCGGTGCTGATCACATAAATCAGGATATTTTTGAATGCAGAACATGTGGGCTGACTGGCTCCTTGTGCTGTTGTACAGAGTGCGCTCGTGTTTGTCACAGAGGACACGATTGCAAATTGAAGAAAACTTCTCCAACCGCTTACTGTGATTGTTGGGAGAAATGTAAGTGCAAAGCTTTAATTTCTGGCTTGCAAGGAGCGCGTTACGATCTTCTCTGTCGCTTAGTGACAAGTACCGATTTAGCCACCAAGATTAATTCGAGGGGAGAAAGTATTTTACTGTTCCTCGTGCAAACTGTCGGTAGACAGTCAATTGAGCAGCGTCAATTCAGATCGACCCCAAGACAACGGCCAACTTCCGCCAGTCGGAAGACAACTTCGGCTGATGGCATTGGTGCTGAAGCAGACATGCCTGATCACGATTTGGAACCTCCGCGATTCAGCAGAAGAGCTCTTGAAAGACTGTTGAACGATTGGCCAGCAGTTCAGTGTATGATAATGTCAGGCGTTCATGAAAATCCGATTGACCAATTGTTTGGAGACCAAGGAAATGGAAGTCGTCAAAGTGGAACTGCATTGCTCGATAAATTCACTCATTCCTTGATTGTTAAGTGTAGTTGTGAAATGTTGGATACGCTACTGACAACTTTGATTCGTGAATTGCAAAACGAATCAGTGCCAGGTCGACAAGAAGAAGCAACGAATGTTGCCAGACGGTTTGTAAGATCAGTCTCGAGAATATTTGTTATATTCACGATAGAAATGGCCCCGAACACCAACAAGAGAAGAAACACTTCAACCAAATCGACAACTTCGAATACAACGCAAACTTCACAGCCTTTGCTCAAGTGTCGTAGAATCTTTCAAGCTTTAATTAAATTAGCGGTGGAGGAATTGTGCGAAACTGCCGATTCTCTGATTGCTCCTGTTAGATTGGGAGTTTCTCGTCCCACTGCACCATTCACTCTTACGAGCTCTGCCATTGAAGTTATTAACGGATCGGAAGAATTGTTTTCAATAGAGCCACTAATTCCTCATAATGGAATAAGTCCTCAGATTTTAGAGGCGGGATTACAGGCGCAGCCGGGAAACAGTAATATTGCAATTGCAAGAGATGTCTCTGCAATGGACGAGACTGAAGGAGGCGAGGAAGTTCCAATGGACATTGATGGCGATGTGAGTGAACATGAGGAATCAGGTATCTCTGGAGCAGGTGTCTCTGGACAAGCTCTTGGCGAGGTGGACAATAATGTTGGCGGAGTGGGAGAGGAACAAGCAGGCGATGGAGAATCTGATGCCGAATTGGATCTTCTTGCTGAGGCTGAGGCTGAAACAGATTCTGATTCTGATGACAATCACAGCAATCAAGATGCTGCTTCTGCACAACGTAGTGTACAAACTGGAGCAACTGCGGGTTCTGATGGCGGTATGGGATCTATTTTGCTTTTCCCTGAAGTTGAATCTGGTGAATCGAGTCAACAAGAAGATGACGAGAGTGAAGCTGGAGAAACTGATGAGCAGGACAATGATGAATTTCAAATTGGTGATGAACAACTAGAACGCCGAAGGTAATTTAATTTAATTATCATTTATTTATCTCTCTTACCAGTTTGCAGTATTAGATAAATAATTAGGTAGGTACATATTCTATTTCAATTTTATAAATTATTATATATTATTAAAACATTAAGGATGTTTATACCGGGGAATGCAGACCATCAGAAAAAATTATTTATTTGACATTTAAAAAATTAAAATATTATTAATAATATTCGTTGGAAGAACAGATACTAAGTTTTAAGACAAAAATGTTTAACTTACAAAAATGATTTATTTATGCATTAATAAATGCAGGTCTCGGATCGACTTTAAGGCGCAAAAAAATAGATTTAGTCGATTTACCTTGCAACAGAGGTCCATTTTTTTATTTTATTTAAATTTAATTATGTAAATAATAAGTATTTTACTTTAAATAATTGCACGGAAAAAAATTTTACGACGAGAACGAGCTATTTGGGAATATAATTAATATGAAGGAACGAAACATCCAACGCTGTGAATAAGTTTACCGCAGTAGCCAAAAGCTTAGCCAATTCGGCTATAGTGAATTTAGAGTTCAATCTTTCTGGTCAGCCATTTCAGCAATACAACATCGCTGGTTCACTTTTGACGAAATGTTTAATTGTTATGGCGAAAAAATTCTCAGATGCAGTTGTACTTTTTTCCGTGTGATATTATTACGATATTAAATCTATTTTATTAATTCCTTAATAAGAATAATTCTATAGTAATATTATCAAAAAAATTTATTTCGAATATTTCAGAATCGAAGACGTAAATTTTTTTAATTTTAATTAAGTAGGACAAATTTCTAAAAAAAAATTTAACAACAATTCAATTTTAGAGTTTTTAAAGAAATATTAAAATTATTAAAAATAATTGATCTTTGAAAGACTTATATAGTTGAAATTTTTAGAAATAATTAAATTTCAAAAGATTTTGTTAAATTTTACAGAATTAAAAATAATGTATCAAATAATTTTAGATTACATTTTTTTAAAAGAATTGAATATTCAAAGATTTACAATTCAGATTTTTGTAATTAACCGGATGTATATGTGCACCGCTTCTTGTGTACAAATTATCTCAAACAAATGTTGACGGATCGCCCTGAAATTTTGCATGCTAATTCTACTTACTAATACCAAAAATCGGACACAAGGATTTCCAAAAATATCCACACAATTTTTTTTTGGGACCATTTTTTAAAAAAGTCAAATATACATTTTTTGATAAAAAAGCTTTTTATTATAAAAATTTCACTTTATTTATTTTAAAACCGTATTCTTTGCGTTAAAACGAATTTCTTAACCTATATTAAGTTCATATTTTACCTAAATTTATAGATGAAATCATTATTTTTATTTTTTCAAAAAATTTAAATTTTTTGTTTTTGTTAAGGGTTAGGGAGGCATATAAATTGGGATTAAATTATGATGAGTTAAGACGCGGAAAACAAGATTCAATAGGAAACTGAAGAATCCTCAACACTGTAAAACGAAAGGTATTAATTTAATACCTACTTTAGGTACTAAATTGTTATTTGGTTCTATTTTGATACGTAAAATCGATACTATTTTAGTACTTTCTTTTTACAGTGAAAATTCAGAGTCATTATTAAAACAAAGGATGAAAAAAATTTGAAAGAACTTAAGAAAAAGAAAAATTTAAGAATTAACAAAAACTTCTTCAGGAAATGCAAAATCGAAATTGAAATAAATTTAATTAAAAGTATTAAAAAAATTTTTTTTTTAATCTAAATTAAATTAAATATTTTCTGCGAGGAAGCATAATGTTCGTGAAATGAACATCACATTTATGTAATATAAATCTCGACCCCTTTTTCTTTATTTGAAATTTTTGGTGATTAAGAATTTATTAGAAAGTGCAGACAAAAATTGAATTTCAAAATATTTTCAAATAATTGAATTTTTGAAGAATATTGTAAAAAATCATTTAAAATCATTAAATTTTTCAAGAGTTACAGTCGTCATTTTTAGAAATAATTAAATTTTCGAAGGTTTTAAATTGAAATTTTTTAAAATAATTGAATTCAAGTGATTTTGAATTGAAATTTTTTGGTGATTTCTATTGCTGAAGAATTTATTAAAAATAAAAGACAAAAATTGAACTTAAAAATTTTTTAATTGAAAAATGTTTTCAGATGAGCGTAAGAGTTATAATTGAAATTATTCAATTTTAAAAAGTTTTAGATGCAAAGTGTTAAAAGGTTTTAAATTGAAATTTTTGGTAATTTAAAAAAATTTAATTTTCTTCAGTTTAACTTAAAAATACTCTGGGGGTATAATTGAAATTTACCAATTGAAATAATTATTAACTAATTTAAATTCTATTGTCACTATCATAGTATGACCTAAACACCATTTGTGATAATTCTTCATTAGCATCATTTTTATTTCAATTAATTTCTTATTTCACGTAATCTTTATCAAAACAAATTCTTTTCTGACATAAGTTTTATGTAATCAACTTGGTGTCATTTTTTAGCTAATTTTCATTTAGCTCAAACTTTATTACATAAATATATGATATAAATGTATTGTATCAGTACAATAACAGTACGTTATACTAAGTCACAAAAGTTTTCAGTACGTCGTACTCGTATAGTACTCGTATTCTACCGATATTGCATACCGGTACGCCGTACTAGTACAGTACCTGGTTCCGTGCGAAGGTACATGGCTGGTACAGTACCAGTACGTCTAGTACGCCGTACTAGTATTATACTACTACCGTACATAATGTGTGTTATCTGGGTATGTATATAAATATGTATATAAAATGTATCCTGTCGTGTAAGGGGGTATTTTCTTGAAAAAGGACAACGTTTTTTGACCTGTCAAACAGTCAGGGAAAAGTCAGGGAAATGTCAGGGAAACAAATTTTTTTTTTCTGATGATATCTTTCTCTCTCCCTAAGTCTTTTCTTTTTTCTCTTCTTCCAATTCTTCCGCTGATTGTAAGTTCTGGTTCAGGTTTGTTTTTTTTTCGTTAGAATCAGTCTGAAAAAAAGACATTGCTTTGGAGAATCAGAAAAATTGCAAAACACTTATGATAATTCTAAATATAACCTCACATTCTTGATTTTGTATTTGCTTAAATAAATCTACATATTAAGGAGAAAAATAAAAAAAAATGTGGTGCTTTAAGGTTATATCGACTGCGCACATTTTCTTTAAACATTAATTGTGTAAAAAATATACAAGTTAAAGAAAAACTGTAAGATTAGTTTTTTTCTATTGAATTGACAAATTTAATGAAACAAAATTTACTTGAGAAAAGTTGTTTGTTTTCGAAAAAACTATGAATTAAGTTCTTGTTTTGCAATCGAGCAATATCTCGTTTTTAAATTTAATTATTAACAATTATTATAATTATAAAATAGTTAAAAACTAAATTGATTATTGATATTATTATTATTATTTTTATTATCATTTTCTTTTGTTTTTCAATCGAATTGTAATCAATTAAATTTGATTCTATTTTATGATTTTAATATTATTCATTATAAAACGATTTAAAAACGCAATAAAAAAGAAAATCCTTTTACAGAAATGTGTAAATGAATTTACTTGATTTTTTTATGAAAACACCTCAATTTCGAAAAATTGGCGCTTGTCCCCTTTTGTCATTCTATTCTTCAAATTTTAAGTATCACATTTCTCAATTAACAAATAACTATTTTTGTTTCAATGAATTTTGAATCGAAAACTACTTTGAGAATTATTTTTGTAAAATGTTTAATATCAGAAATTGTATTAATTATAAAACTATTGTTTCTTTTTATTTAGTGGTACATCGGGCAATTTACAAAGAAACAATTTGGCTCCCATTTCGATGCAATGGGCAATAAGAAATCGGGAATCGAGTACTCGCACTGCTGGCTTAAGGGTAACTGGCGGAAGTAATTTAGTCTTCATAGATCCATCATCGTTGAGACGATCTTCTACAGCTTCGACAGTTGCAGCAGCTCAAGAACCTATAACTATGGGAACAACTGCAAGTTGTTTAGCAAGAGCCTTTGGAATCGTTATTAGACAAATAGCTGATCTCTTGACGCTGATGCATGACTACAAACTTAATGCTCCATCTCTTCCAAGACTTATGGAAATTACTTATCAAGATGCTATTAACTTGCAAGTATGTATTGATTATTTAATAGTTGTGTATATTGAGGAAGTGTTTCTTGATGGTGACGCTCATTTTTTTAAATTCATAGATATATCTGGAAAGTCATCTAAAGCCAACATGGGATTGGCTGTTGACTGTGATGGACGCTACAGAAGCCCAGTTGCGATTTGGAGTATCGCTGACACGAAGTGCCGACCCATCTCATCCTGAACATCCTCTAAACAATGCGCCATCACTTTCTGGGGGAAACTTTTCAGGCTTGTTTAATTCCGCTGCTGTGTCTCTAACACTTCAAGGCAATTCCAATCGCAATCAACGCAGCGGCATTACTGCTAGCTCGAATATTTCCTCGTCTCAAGGATCGACGAGACTCACTGTTGGTTTCACTGGTGTTGGTGATCCTCCTAGAACCAACAGAGATCGCGAAGGTAAGGATCATCAAGTTTATCAACCTGAATCCTGTGCTGCTATAATCTTTAACTTTCTTTACGCATTTTCTACACATTAGGAGGAGACGCACATTCATCGAGGCGAGAATTTTTGTCCTATTGTCTGTCATTGATGAGAGCACACAACGGAGAACATAGGGACAGTCTTCCTGTCTTGGATGTTTCTGCTCTTCGACATGTTGCTTATGTTTTTGACGCTCTTGTTTACTACATGCGTTCTCTCTCGGATCCAAGAGGGGACGCCCAGAAGGATTCTTCGTCATTTTCGACGTGGAATGATCAGGTATTTTTTTGTCTTTAAAAATTTAATACAGATTAATTAGAAACTATATCAACCGCTACACTCGGCTGGTCGTTTTCAAGCGAGTCAAGCTGGTCAAAAAGTGTAAAAATTTTAATTTTTAAAATGCCTTATAGAAAATAAAAAAGCGCATCTTTTTTCTTAATGAATTTTTCTTCCAAGTCTAATATTTTTGTTAATAAATGCAAAAAAGCTTGAATAATTATTTTTTCAAATTTAATTTAATGTATACACTTATTAGGGGCGACTAAAGCCAATGAAACCTTAAAAAAGTTAATAAACTTTTATTGTTTAATTATTTTTAATTGCAAATTGAAAGTGGTCGGTAATCAGGTTTTCCTAGTTTCAATCACAAAAAGTCTACAGGGAGTTTTAAAACTAAGAATTAGTCGTGAGACATTTGTTTAATACTATTCAAGGAAGTTTTCTGAAAATTTTCAAATTGTTTCATAAAAAGATTTTTGAAAAATTTAATTTTCAATAAAAACCATAATTTATTTTTCAAAAACTAATTTAATTTTAGAGGAAAATTTTTCGAGTTTTTTTTTGCATTTATTAACAAAAATATTAGACTTAATAAAAATCCATATAGATAAAAGTTGCGCTTTTATTTAATGTATTTATTTATGTAATATATTTAAAAAATTAAAATTTCGAGTTTAAAATTTTTACACTTTTTAACCAGCTTGACAACGACCGGCTGAGCGTAGCGGTAGTTATTGTACGCTGCCCCTCAAATAAATTATTTAATAATTTGTTTGGTCATTGAAGATATTTTTAATTACTTTATTAAATATTTGAAGATAATTTCTATTATTTTGTTGTCTAATTTAAAAAAAATATTTACATTTGATTCAATATCTATGATAATGGCAATTATTTTGAGTTAATTTTTATTAAATAATTGAAGATATTTTCAATTTTTTGTTAATAATTCCAAAAATTGACCTTTGACTTGTAAATATGCTTAAAATTGAAGTCCTTAATTTCCTCTTGAAAATTTTGCTGAAAATTTGAATTAATTAATTTCCGTAAATCAAACTTGAAAAATTTGTAAAACAAGGAGGGGGTCCTTTATGTTTATTTCATAAACATTTTGCTTCCTCATTGTGTGAAGCAAAAAATTTGCTTTCTCGTGGAGGAAGCAATGAATTTCTCCAATTCAATTGATTGATTTAAAACATTTCGAGTTGAAAACTGTTTTAAATTTCTTAAATTTTTTGAAAAATTAACAAAATTTTAATTAATTTTGGGTGTAACATATACTCTATATATACGAATCGATTTGTTGCAATGCAAGGAATACAATTGATTTATATATTAACTTGAATTTAAATAAACACACATTTTTTTAGCTAAAATATGAATTTTTGATTTTTCAATTTTTATTAATTCTTAAAATTTAAATCAAATCTATACTTTATATATACCAATCGATTCGTCTTGATGTAAGGAAAACAATTTTATTATATACCACCTTAAATTTTTCTATTTAAAAATTTTTTCAATTAAAAAAAATGTTGGAAAAAAGACGATAAAATTTTTTTTGGGGGTATTTTTAAAAACCCTCTCGTTATTTTTGAGAGATTAATGTGATAAATAAGCCTACCAAATTCTACCCAAATCCATTGAAACCTGTTAAAGATATCATGTTCACAAAAAAGTTCCACACACACATACATACATACATACATCCGGACAATTGAGCAGGATCTCATATACATTACTATGTTGGAGCATACAGTGAATTTAATATTATCTCAGGAATAGTGTGACAAAATTGCAACACAGTATAAACCAAAAGAATCTTTTTAGTTTAGAGTTCAAATAAAATGGTAAATGTAATGTTTTCTAAATAAATTTGATATTACGTTTAGGACGAGAACGAAAATGAAGAAGGGGAGGATGATACTTTGCCAGGAAACGCTGCAATGGAATCCGATCCAGTGGAATATCCAGATTTATTGCAGGTTCCAGTTTGTGGAACGGGAAGTAGTATTAGTCAAGCGGGAAAAGGGAGAAAGCATCCTTTCTTGCAAAGATCAGACTCAACATTGTGTCTCGGTTGTCCGCCAATCGATCCATTCGATACAGTTATAAGTGAGGCATTACCACTAGCTGATCAGCCGCATCTACTGCAGCCACACTCGAGACGCGAGGATCTGTTCGGTGTTCCAAGACAACCTCTGGTGTCGAATCCAAACTCTAATCAAAATACACTTGAGGGTTTACCTACCCGACTCGGTCTCTCGACTCGCAGTATTGATAATCAAAATACCGGCGCAACTCTAACCTTGAGTCAGATTATTCAGGGACCTGGCTCCAGTACTGTGTCTGACAATCGACGCAATTCATTAAACACAAGTGAACCCGGTTCGAGTAAATGCACGGTAATAATAGGCATTGTTAATTTTCAAAAAAATTATTCCTTCTCATTATTTTGTATTTGTTTTTTTGTCTTATAGGACAAATCAAAAATTTTAAATTCCACTGCTGATGGACAATCACCAGTGGCAAGTGAACAACTTGACAGAGCTCCAATTATTGTATCGCCAAATAGTCAAGGTGATGCTGCTGCTGCTGCTGCACCGAGTGGAAAGAGTAAAGACGCTTGTAAAAATGGCAGAAGTGTCATTGTTAGAGCAGGAACTGTATCGGTATGTACCAGTTTAACGAGAAATATTTAATTTATTTTTAAATAATGTTCCATTTGTCTACATTTACTAAATGTTATGAAAAAATATTCAGGAATCAAATGTAAATAAAGTTGGTGCGCCTGATGTTCTTGTGGTATTAGCCATGGAGGCGCAAAATGTCACAGAGGAAGTTGATCCCACGGCATCGAGTCATGAAATTTCGGCGCATGAAACTGTCGAAACAAGTCCTATAGAAACAACTAAAACAGTGTCAACAATTGGTACGAATATTTCACACAACATTTTACTTGGACGCTGGAGACTCTCGCTCGATTTGTTTGGAAGAGTTTTTATGGAAGATGTTGGACTTGAAGCAGGATCTGTTGTATCAGAATTAGGCGGCTTTCCTGTCAAGGAAGCTAAATTCCGTAGAGATATGGAGAAACTAAAAAATTCTCAACAAAAAGACATTACTCTTTCAAAGGTTATTTTTCTCTTCTATTTTTTCTTTATTCATGAATTTGAGTAATTTATTAAAACATTCTATTGAAAAATAGGTTGAACGTGATAGAACGCAGTTGCTGGTCCAAACGATGAAGGAATTAAATACACAATATAACCTTTACAACAGAAGAGCCACGAATACACCTCCTTTAGCGGTAAATCGAGTTAAAGTAACATTTAAAGACGAACCAGGAGAGGGTTCTGGAGTTGCTCGAGGGTTTTACACTGCGATTGCTGAGGTATTGTTTTCATTAATTCTCTAATTGATGTGCTCAACAATTAATATTGTAAATTTCACAATTTTACTTAACTTTTACTTTCAGGCGTTATTGGCAAATGAAAAACTTCCAAATCTCGAAGCTGCACAAGTTGGAACTAAATATACGCAGTATAATGTTTTACAAAAATTAAAGAGCAGAGATCGCGATCATAATCTTAGAAGACAGGTAATTTAACGAAAATAGAATGGCTTTTTAAGGAGAAATGTGTAGCAAACTAATTTTTAAGTATATTTACGTTACTATGAGTCACAAATACAAAGAATGTAGGATAAATATCGTAAAATTAATGAGATATTGGCAAAAAAAAATTGTTATACCATGTGACTCACAAAAATGTATTAAAACTAAAATCATTATAATTATTTGAACGATTTTATGTGTATCAGCTATCTGTGAAACACACTATCACTAAGAATAACTAACAGTAAAACATTTATCAAAATACATTAAGAATTACAGATTCTATCCAAATTTGAAGAAACTATGTCTTTACTGAAAGTGTTGAAAAAAACTAAATTTACAGTTTTGGAGAGTAACCTCTCCATAGACACGATGTTAATTTAATTGCAAATATTTTCAAAACTAGACGGTGAAAATTGTTTAAATTTCACAAAATTACGTAAAATTAATTCAACTTTAACAGTTTCATGATTTTCTTTTTGAACCAAGGTTTTATTTGCAGACTTCACGATCTTCTGGGAAGTGTAGGGAAACACGAAGAGCTTTGTCATTTGACGCTCGATCCTTTCATCCATCGAGTGCAGTTGAAGGTGCTAGTGGATCCGGCACTGGTGGTTCATCGGCAAATTCTCATTCGACAACTGCAAACCATTTAAGCAATGATCATCTAACGATGCATCAACAACAGTTGGGAGATAGACTCTACCCCAAGGTAAAATTTTAGTTTCACGCTTGTCGATTAAGTTGCAATGAAATTAGAAAGCAACAGCTAATTTCCTTTCTGATCTTGTAGGTGCAAACATTGAGACCTACGTTAGCAGAAAAAATAACTGGAATGTTGTTGGAACTTTCACCGGCGCAATTATTAATGTTACTCGCGACGGAAGAGGCTCTAAGGCAAAAAGTGGACGAAGCGTTTGAGTTGATTCATAGTCACAGTCAGGATCTTGCTAATGAGGCACTTTTAGATTTAGACGTTTTTAGTTTAACTGAACGCTGCGGAAGCAGCAAAAAGAAAAGCATGGAAAGTATATTCTTAGACGATACAGAAGATAATGCTCCTCTATTTTATTCTCCGGGGAAGAGAGGTTTTTACACACCTAGGCAAGGTAGAGCTAGTTATGAACGATTAAATGCTTTCAGAAATGTAGGAAGGTCAGTAAAGATTTATTAATTTATTAATTATTAACTTTGACAGAAGAGAAAAATTGAAAAAATATTCAATTTCCTTTACAGGCTTATTGGATTATGTCTTTTACAAAATGAATTGTGTCCAATATTCTTGAATCGACACGTAATCAAATATATATTGGGTAGACCTATTCGGTTCCATGATCTTGCATTTTTTGATTCTGTAATTTACGAAAGTCTAAGGCAACTAGTGATTGATGCAGAAACTAAGGATAGTAACAGTTTATTCTCAGCACTGGAGCTCACGTTCAGGTAAATAATATAAGAGGAAAATATCATTTTGATAATTTTTAAAACTCAATTGGTGTTTTTTCTCAGCATTGACCTGTGCCAAGAAGAAGGAGGAGGCTCAATCGAGTTAGTACCCAATGGTCGAGACATTGAAGTAACAGGAACCAACGTTTATGATTATGTGCGAAAGTACGCAGAAGTGAGAATGATTAAAGTGCAGGAGAAAGCTCTGGATTCGATGAGGGATGGCGTCTTTGATGTTCTTCCGGAAGGCGCATTGGATGGTCTAACTTCTGAAGATTTGAGACTTTTACTGAATGGCGTTGGTGATATAAATGTCTCCGTTCTAATATCCTATACTTCATTTAATGATGAATCTGGAGAATCAACAGAGCGGCTCGTCAAATTTAAACGATGGCTTTGGTCTATTGTGGAGAAAATGTCTCACGTTGAACGACAAGACTTAGTAAGTATTTCAAGTTTTTTTCCTTAAACATCACGACGTCGGAAAACGGGTATAATAAAATTTTCTGATGCGAATATTACATATATGAAATAATTTTTATTTTACATAAATACATAATAAATTGAGTTGTAGAAACTGAAATATGAGTCAAATTATCTGCTTAATTATGCAAGTTTTAGTTTGTGATAATTCTATTGTCAAGCTCAAGTCTTGTTCATATTTGATAAAATAAATGGTCATTTTTCACCTTATTGAAGGTGATTTTGATGTTCTCTTAAGGACGTTTATCCACGGAAATGCAGACCTCCCACAAAAAAATTATTAATTAACATTTAAATAATTAAAATAATATTATTAATTGTACTTTCTGAAAGAAGAAATATCAATTTTCAAGAAAAAAATTTAAAACTTAAAAAATGTTCTGTCACATCGCTTCTACAGAATTTTTTAAAAATGATTGGATTTTAATGTAATATGGCTTATTTTCTTTAGAAAATGATTCTCTACAACGAACAATTTTTTAAACAATTTTTAAACAAACAAGCCGTTTGGAAAATATGGCTACAAATAGTCATATTTTCTAAACGGCTTGCTTGTTTAAAAATCCCCACGGTGAAGTTCTGGAGAATCATTTTCTAAAGAAAATAAGCCATATTACATTGAAATCCAATCATTTTTAAAAAATTCTGTAGAAGCGATGTGACAGAACATTTTTTTCTTGAAAATTGATATTTTTTTCTGGAGGTCTGCATTTCCGTGAATAAACATCCTTAAATGGATTCAGAAAAAGGAAGGTAATTTTCTCAAATATTAGGAATTTTGCAAAATGTGGAATGTATTTTTTTCTAGACAAATGTACTTACAAATGTAAGAGGATATAATTTTGCGTGCAGTCGAGACATAGAAACTAATAATTAGAAAATTGACAGGTATACTTTTGGACTGGATCCCCAGCGTTGCCTGCAAGTGAAGGTGGTTTTCAACCAATGCCAAGTGTGACAATCCGACCTGCTGATGACATGCACCTACCAACTGCAAACACTTGCATCTCTCGACTTTACGTTCCACTGTACAGCTCACGACACGTGCTACGTCACAAATTACTTCTCGCCATAAAGGCAAAGAACTTTGGATTCGTATGAACTTTGTTCTCTGTATACTTGCGATAGTCCTTAAAGGAAACCGCAATAAGCATTATAACATATATTATGAAAAGAAAATGCAAAATATGTTGTTATTTTCCTTTTTCTCCTAGAAAAATTTATAACATTTATAAATTTGTAAGGTGTAATTATAATATTTCATTATTTCGATCAAGGAAATTGGTCTTCGTCTTAATAAGATTTTATGTTAATGTGTCATATTTAGCCTTTATAGAAAAGAAAAACGAATAAATCTTTCTCAACTATTATAAATTGTTACGGACATTCAAATGTTTCGACATTTCATTCACCCAAAAAATGGAGAAAATAAGCTTTTTCAGTTTTAAAAAGATTATCATTATTATAATTATAAAAAAAAGAATAAACTTTGTAAATGTTGAATCATCGAAACAAAAATCAATCACACAAATGAAATCTGTAGGAAAATTTACATCGTAAGTGAAAAATAAATCCCAACAGTTGGTAAATTTTAGAAACAGTAATAAAAAAATTGAGAAAAATCTCACATTTACTGAGTTTTCATTTAACAAAACAACTTTCTCGTTTAATTTAATAAAATACGTAAAATCTATAAATTTCTAGCGACAAGGAAAAGCAAGGTGTTTATATACGATTAAAAATTTTTTTATTAGGCGTGTACCAGACGTAACAGAAGACGTAGATTAAGTTTTTAAAACGAGACTCACCTTGTAAGTGAAAAAGCATGAGAATTGGATTTGTCCCTTGACGTGTTACGCACCATTTCCAAGAAATACATATGTACAGCGCAAATTATAGTCGAGTACGAGAAGCAATTAAAAATTTCAAGTAAATGCACAACTGTTAAAACATAGAATAAATAGAAAACAATTCCAGGCCGATTATATTTTTTGTTTACAAAGAATAATCACTTCTTTGTAAATATATATATATATATGTATATATATATATTTCTTTGACACAATAAGAAATGAATTTTAATGACAATAATTTGTCCTTCCAGACGTATGTATTTTTTAGAAAAAGAAACGGATAAAGAAAATTTGTAATCAATTTTCTAAATCAAGAAAGAAGAAAATTTTTATGGCTACTTCACTTGCGTGTACTCGCAAGCCACTTAAAATATAGCGCCCAATTAAAATGAAATTTCTTTGAATTTACAGCAGTTTAAATATGTATTTCCTAAACGTATAACTGAAAGAGTAAAAAATAATCTATTATCTTTAATTTACTTAAAAAAAATACTAATGCTAATATATATAATATATATAATAAATCTCATTATTTATAAATTTCTAAAAATCGTAGAGTTATATATACAATAATTATATTATCCGTTATGTACTTGAGAAAGTATCATGAGAAACTTATGTACAATGGGTTAACTACTGACCACTGCCAGTGTTGTTTATGGATAATTTTGTGGTCACTTGACTGAGTTGAGCCAAGGTGTCAGGCGAAGCGTGAGCTTTCAAAATTGAATTTTCAGCTTCCAATAGATTAATGCGATCCATCAGCTCTGCTATTTTTTCTTTCAACACTTCAACTTCTTCTCTCACAGCATACATTAGATGACTCTTTACCAAGTCCTACAACACAAATTTTATCTCTCTTTTATAAATGGCAATTTAAATATAATAATTATACTATCCTTATTGTTATTACACAAGTGAGTAAAATTTTTCCATTTTTTAAAACATTCTTCCGCCATTTTAAATTTTGTTAAACTATGGTCAGATTCATAAAAACTCTAGAGTAACGGTTTTTGCCTTGTGAGATAAGTTCCTGTTTTTTTGTCCACTTTCTCAAGCAGTCTGGACCACTGTGATTTACGAAAAAAGAAGTCCACAAATGAACTTGGCTTTCATTTAAAAATGATGAATTTAATAGACAATTTAATAGCTTAAAACATTGAAAATTAAAAATTATTTTACAAATAATATTATTGTAAATTTTTGTCGATTTCATAAAAATATTTTTGTGCAACTCAAGCAAAAAAGCGCTACTTTACTACTTTACTTTTTGCATTCTGATAAAGTGTGCAGCAAAAAACACTTTTCTGCACACTTTCAGGCATATTAGCCAACATAACCTTAAATTTATTCTTTAAAACAGCATATAAAGTAGCTTTTTTCTTGTAGATGTTGCACAATGTACTATTTCATTTCATTAAAAGTTATACTACTATGTACTCATTTAGAAAATAATATTGTTAAATTTGAGTTTAATTATTTTTAAAAACTTTGAATTTAGAGTCCATATAGACTCAATAAAATTCAATTTCTTATATGCTATTCATTATTTATTATCCCATGTATATCGACATGTGGAATTTTGTAAATTATAACATTGTAAAATTTCGATTTAGCAACCACAAATGTGTCCAACAAATTAACAGGGCGGTGATCACGTTACCCAATAGTCTCACTCTCATGCTGTTAAGCAGATCCAAAAACTTTTATTCGTTATTTTAAATTCACAAGTTTGAATTTTGAAATTCTGATTATAAATTTAGATTAAATGACCTGAAAACTCTTTTAGCAGTAATTTTCATGCCCAAATCGGCAGATTTTAAAACTTAAGTCTGCCATTTTGAATTTTCAAATTCTAGCCACAAATTCGGATTCAGAGAATCTGATTGACCAATGTCATCATTTTTGGATAAATCTGACCATATTTTATAAATTATGTCAGTTTTTCGAAAAACTAGCGAGCTCGTGCGCACAGGGGTTCAACCCCCCTCCAGAGAGGTTTCAAACTTATATGTTAACATATAATATATAAAAAATATATGCGAATTCTCTGCACGGGCCTGATTATTAAATACAGTTTTAACTATAAATCATAGTTTAATAATAAAATAAATTATTGAAAAATTCATTTTAAACCAATATTTACATAGGGTAAAAGGAACCAATTGTCGAGCTGCGGTGACTACTTTTGCCTATAAATAGTGCATACTTAAAAATTAACAATAATACAATATCACTAAATAATATTATTCATTTAAATAAATAATTTTATATACATTACCCATTACAGTACAATTTCGGTAAGTGTCGGATCGCGATATGTATAGGATTTTTTCCGTCATCTACATCAAAGGATTCAAAAAAACTCAAAGATTTTAAAACACTATATTATTTACCGAAAATAGATGACAAAAAGGTGATAAAAAACTGATGGTTAAAATCAATTACCGTCAAAAATAACTAATTTGTATCTATTCAAATTTTCATCAATAATTAAAGTATTAATAGTTTAAAATTTGAGTAAATTGAAACTTAATCAAAATTTCAATAAATTTAAATTCGGATAATATAAAACGTAAATCAATTAAAATTTCGATAATTAGAAACATAAATTGTAATTAAAAATTTGAAACTTAAATAAATAGAAAGTTTAATCACTTGACATTTTTGTAAATTCATTTAATTTCCCGGACAAAAAAGATTTTCCATGACTTTTCTTACTTGTGATTACCCTGTAACTAATTAATTTTTTTTTCAAAGTTTAAAGTATTAAAATTTATTTTTTAAGATATATCCAAACTATTAGTAAATAATATTAAGTTTACGAAAAATATTCTAGGGTAGAAATATTTGAGGGCGAAACGGAAAAAGAAATTTTCGATCAAAATGACAATTCCTTTTCGTTTAATAATAAGTTTTTCATACCTAATTTACTTTTTTTAAAAAATATATATAAAAACTAGAAACTTGGATGGTCTTTTTTTATCCAATTAGTATTTGCAATATTGAAGACATTATTTATGAGTTATAAATTTATATTTTTGTAACCTCTCTATTTTCTCTAATTCTCGACAATTGGTTCCTTTACCCTACTAACTGAACATTTGTTACTGTTAAATTTTTTAATAAAAAGCTTTGAAAGAGTTAACAGGTAAGTAAAGTGTTCTATTTTTAGATTTTAATTTTCAACTACAATATATTAAATAAAAACAATTAGTAGACAAAATTAAAAACTTCTAGGAATTAAAAATTTTGCACATATTATTAGGAAGATAATAAGAAAAATGTTCAACTCACCATAGCTTGTTCAATTTTATTATCAATAGCTACGGCGCTAGTTCCCGACATACTGAAAAAATGTAAAAATTGTTATATTAAAACAAATTTATTAAAATTTTTTGTAAAAGAAATAAATAATGACAAATAAATGCATAAAGTAATATTTCAATTTACTGAAAGAATAAAATACTTGAATTATTTTGACAGAATCGTTGTCATTTTGTTTTAAAAATAAAGAGAATTTGTTACTAAAAATAAAATGAAATTCAGAAGAATGATAAAAGTTAATAATGTATGTAACTAGAAACATTTTCTACTAAGTCAAAAAAAATTGACATCTTTATATTCTATAAATCTAGAAATATAGATAATTTATGTATAATTACAATAAAAAAAAAAAAATGTGAAAAGCTTTTCAATTATTCGATCGATAAATAAGACAAGCGAATATGTAGAATTTGTCCTTCAGCTAAATTTACTGTGTTTTAAAACTAAGTCATCATCTATTTAACATTGATATATCATTACCGCCGCTTAAATTCTCGACCACTGAGCATCCTCAACAAAATTTCAAGTATTTTCAGGTATTGACTGACAAATTTAAGTTCAATAACATTGGAAAGATTGACAATTATTCGACGAACAAGGTATAACAAAATGTTACTGCACATGGAAAGCACGGATGCTACTAGTCAGAATATTTTAAATCTTTTGTAGAGTTCACTCTTCTTGAGATATTTATTACTAATAAAACACGACTAACTCGCTGTTTTTCATAAACTGTACGCCAATTGATAAGGCGTTACAATACCAACTATATTTACTTAAACGATTCTATGTTATAAAGATAAAAAAAAATTAATTTAGAAATTAACAAAATTCATGTTTTTACAATTACACCGTTGACAGGTACAATTCCATAACCCTTGAAACAAATGTACAGCACGCTGGTAATTTATGTGAAAAGTCTTTATGTACTGAGAAAAATAAGTTATTGAATCAATGATATTTCTGATAAGAGCTTGAAAATTATTAATTCAAAAGTATATTATGCTATAGAATTTCTGAAAAATTGAACGAACTTTAGAAAAAAAATAGTCAATTGTTTTAGACCAAAGACAAATTTTATACTTAATTTCATCAACAAAAAAAAAAAAAATTTGTTTTATAATTGCTCCAACCTAGGGTCAATTAAAAAGTAAACTTTAATTTCCAAGAGTGTTAAATATCATGTGAAATGACATTTAGTACAAATATTTTTGATAACTGGACAAACCGAAATTTTGATTTTTTTCACATTTTCATTATCAACAGATCAAGAAACTTAAGTAACATTTAGTTATTTCTGAGATATTATTAAACTTGTAAAGTCACTCGAGTCGAAATTTGGATTCTCACTTTAATTTGTAAAAAATTGCATCTATGTAGGTACACTGTGCAGAATTTTAATAATTAGCAACAATATTATTGGTTTAAATAATCATCAGAACTTTATTTAAAATTTAATTTTTAATTATTCCAAGAACGTTAAATTACAACATTTGGAAGAGACAATACATTATGTATTGTAAATGGTAAATTAGAAAAATGATGAATTTTCTCTAACTAATTATTAGCTAACTTTGTGATTATTGTAAGGATTAGAATTAGATGAAATTTTATGAGTAATTTAATATTCCTATTTGTGTAATGTAATTTCAAATGATCATTGTGTAAAATATATGTTATCTAACATTTCATCAAGTTTCACATTAATATATAAATCGATGGTTTATAAAGGACTAAAAATTATAACAATTTTCATTGAAAATTATAAAGACTAACATTTATCAATTATGTTTATTACCGTTAAAAAATTCTATATATTTTAATTTAATTTAGTTAGGTAGGGTCAGCCGGGGTAAATCCGAACGCTTTTAGTAAGTTTCAACAATAACATAAGTTTTTTCTTTTAAAAGACAATACTTCCGGTATTCTGGTGCATGAAGTTGTTACTTTACTTCCATAGAACAATTTTATGGGGTAGCAAAAATTTTTGATACATTACAATCGCAGGAAACTTAGCGTTCGTATTTACCTCGATACTTTGCAACTTTCCTAAAATACCGGGGTAAATACGAACGCCACTGAATTTCAGAAAAATCTTAGGGAAAATAAATTTAAAGTATTGCAATTGTTAAACTTATATAAAAACTCAAAAAAATACGATAATAAACCTATTATGTAATAATGCATCATATATAAATACAAAAATCAAACAGGTTAAAAATTAAAATGCATTACACAATTAAAACCTTCAATAACTTTATCAAATCATAACGGATTTTTGCAAAACTTGGTACAGAAAGTATTTTGGAGTGATTGAATGTAAATACAAAAATAAAAGTCAAATTTTTTAAATTCAAAATGGCGGACTTTCCTAAAACTTATTTTTAAAAATGATCAAATTTGCTAACCCTGAAACCCCTCGAGTAACAATTTTCGAGCGAATCCAATGAATTTTTTAATTCTCGTCCGCCATTTTGAATTTTGAAAAACTGACTTCAAATTGGTAATTAGCGACCCCAAAAACCGTAGAATACCAAATTTTATTAAGATCCTGAAAAACTTTTTTCAACAAACCATTTGGCAAAAAAAATGGAACACTCCTTCGAGAGAACGGAGATTAAGTTTCTGCTTATTAATTACTAACGAGGATACATATAGAAAGAAAAACTTTTTTCTATGTACTTTTATAATGTTAAAATAATAGTGTAATCAAATAAAAACAATTTTTGATATAAGAAAAAATTATTGAAAATACCGTTCGGATTTACCCCGGTTTTTCCAATTTTCCGGGGTAAATACGAACGGTCTGATATTATTAATAAAATTTTACAGAAGGCAAAAATCAAAAATAGTTTCTGTTCTAGTATTCATAACAAACAATTATAAATAATAAAATGAATTTTTAGCTTCTTTTTCTTCAAATACGAGACAAAATACTGGAAGAGTGTCATCTTTGATTTTCAATCTTTTTTGCAATACTCGTTATCTTTGTTTATGCTGTTGCTAATTAAAACGAAAAATGGGATAATACTTAGAATCTCTTGAAGAGGATCTGAGGTAAAAATTCTCATGTCTAACTTATTTTTTTAAATTTTAATTAAGCTGAAATAATTAGCGTTCGGATTTACCCCGGGTGACCCTATAGGTAAATTCTAATATTGAAAAGCTTTTTAAAAAAAATGTGAATGTATATTAAAATGGAGATCATCAATGAAAAGCAGTTCTGTTCTATGGGAGGTTTTGTAAAAAGAAATTCCTTTATAAAATAAAACAAAATAATATTTGTTTCAAATTTAATGAAGTTTTGAGACATAATTTTCTTTAAAAATTAGACAATTGTTGATGAAATTAACTATTTCATTTACCCTCACTGTAAAGGGTCGAGTTACTTGATCGGGACACTTAATTAACAAAAATTTTAAACATCAAACTTTCTAGGCATACAACGTTAATTTTTTAGAAAAATTAGTATTTTTTATGCAATTTTCGTAATATTGTATTTTAAATTATTCTTATTTTAAAAAATGTATTTCAGGAGCGATACAATAATTAAGTTTTAGAGAATATTTAATTAAAAAATTTTTTAAATAACTTAATTTTTAAAGAATTTTATTAAATTTATTGATTTATTTGACAATTTGAAAGTTTTTACATTTATTTAAATGATTTTAAATTAAAAATTTCAAAAGTAATTAAATTTTCGAATTTAGTTTGAATTATATTATTACTTTATTTTAAAATTACAATTTTTGAGAACAATTTAATTTCTGAAATATTTTATTCCAAGGATGTTAAATAATTAAAATTTTGTAACATTTGATTACAGATTTTTAAAATAATTGAATGTTTGAAAAAATTTCATTAAAATTTTTGAAAATATATACCTACTTAAATTGTTAAAGAATTTTAATGAAAAAATATGTAAATAATTGGATTGTATACCTATTAAAAATCACGATTTTTTTATATAAAAAAAAATTCAGATTTAAAAATATTAAGTGTTACTACGTTAAAGGTGAATCTTAAAAAAAATTATTGCTAATTTTGAAAACTGTGAAAAGGTTTTGAATTTTTTTTCAAAAGTTGCGTAAAAGTAAACTGTTAAGAGCATGATAATAGCATGATTGAGACTATTTAAAAACATAATTGCTGCATAACTGCAACTTTATTGAGAGCATAAATCGTCTTTGTCAAAAATATCAAGTTCCTGTCATGTCATAGTTTACTGCAAAATATAACCAAGCTATTGATATTTAAAAACGTGACTTTTGGTATTGTTTAGTTATTAAATTTTTATCTTAGTTTTAAAAGAATGCATTTATTTTATAGACTCCATATCTCCATGAGGAAGCAAAGTGTTGATGAAATGAACAGAAGAAATTCACACTTCACATATTGCGCCTGAACTGAATTTAAATAAAAAATCTTTGTAAATCAAAATTTCTTCTTGATTTTGAATCAGTAGTGTTCCTTGATTAAAATAATCGCAAAAACTAAAATAATCCGAGGTGGGCTTTTCGAGAAAAGTGATTTTGAAGATTTTCACATTCCATGACATCCTTAAGGGTAGGTCAAAGTCGATGCAATTTTTACATAGAGCTTGAATGGGAAAATCGCGTCGACTTTGACCTGCCCATAAAAGATTTCCCTGACTTAATACATGATTTATTTCACGCCATATCAGACACCCATTTGCAATTGCAAATTTGATTTTTTTGAAACTTTTTTTTCTTTTAGTATTAATTAAGACTAGCTTTAATGATTTTTTCAATTTTTTATATCAAGCAGTTTATGAGATATAATTTCAAAATTTCAGAATTTTAAAGATTTTTTATTTTTGAATGCTTATAACTTCCTTAAAAATGCATCAATTTAAAATTTTGTTACAAATTTGTTTTTAAATGTAATTTTCAAAAAAAAATTAAAATTTTTTTTTAAACGACACTATTATTAAATTTTTAAGTTTTAAAGATAAAAATTCAATTTTCTTAATTAACATACTGATCGACTTTATCAAAATTGTTTATAAAAAACTGTTTCTACTTTAACAAATTTTAAGCATAGTCCGATTGTGGGCAAACAATTATTTCAGAAGTTTTTAAAAATTTTGAAACTTTGAATTTTTTAAAAATATCTTCGGTTTTTTTATACTACATACATTTATGTATTTTGGTTCACTGTTTATGAAAATCTTAGTAACAATGCCCGAAAATTTGATTTTTATGGTGAAAACCATAAAAAAATTCCTAAAATTTATGGTTTTTTTCGTTTATTGTGTTTCTATTTCTCAAAAGCAACGAATAAAATCATTTGTTTCAAAATTCCAGAAATTAAAGGGATTTCCAGAACTTTTCCATACAAAAAATTAATTCCATGACTTTTCTCTGACTTGTTAGACACCCTTTATACATTTCGAATGTAAAAATATTCATTCACTTTTCTCGTAAAGCCCTCCGTGGATTATTTTAGTTTGAACTCTACTGATTCAAAATTAAGAAGAAATTTTGATTTGGAAAGACTTTTGATTTAAATCTAGTTCAGGTGCACCGTGATCAACTTGGCAGCGGTTTTTAATAAAAGTGATAATTTTGGTAAATTTGACAAGTTGAATATATTGTAGCTGTTTTTAGTAAAATTGTGTGCAAATCTTATTGAATGCTTTAAAAAAATATTAGAGAAGTTAAGTTGTAAGTACCTTTCAGTGTCTTCGACAGGCGGTTGTTCATCGGCATTTTGAATAACTTCGGCGAGAGTCTCGAGTACAGCTGGATCGGTTGATTGTGCTCCAGACACAACCTGAATATTCGAAATGGAGTCCTGCTCCTGATCAGGTTGATGGAACGTCATGTTTCCTTGTTGCATTCCACCTATTGCTCCGACTGGCACATTTTGGCAATTGGCTGGAACCTGAGTCATCTGAACCTGGGTATTACTGCTCTGTGGTTGCATTTGGCCAGGATTGATAACCTGCGTTTGTATTGGCGCACCAGGGATGTGAATCGATGACTGGGACTGGCCGCCTGATTGAGGAACTTGGTGAATATTTTGAATGCCCTGCATCCCTTGCATGGCGGAGGTCATTGGCTCGGAGATTTGTGTTATTTGTGGAATCTGTTGTTGTGAATGTTGCATTTGTTGAGGATGCTGCGTCTGTTGAATATGCTGTGGATGTTGCGTTTGTTGTTGGTGTTGAACTTGTTGCACTTGCTGGGGATGTTGCACCTGCTGAGGGATTTGAACTTGCTGTGGATGCTGAACTTGTTGTGGATGTTGCACCTGTTGGGGATGTTGTACCTGCTGAGGATGTTGAACTTGCTGAGGATGTTGAACTTGTTGCGGGTGCGGAATTTGCTGAGAATGCTGAACTTGTTGAGGATGTTGTGAAATTTGTGCTTGTTGTTGTGGATGCTGAGGTTGCTGCGGAAGTTGTCCCTGCTGTTGAGGATGTTGAGATTGTTGCGGGAGTTGTCCCTGCTGTTGTGAGTGTTGAGGATGATGCGAGAGAAGTATGTTAGGTGCCTGGGAGGTCGGTATTGAAGGTTGCTGTTGCACTATATTAGGGGGGCATACATTTTGCGATGGCAGAGGCTGGCCTTGGGAGTTAACTGTCACGTAAGCTTCCTCTTTCGAGAGAGATAAATTTGCTTGAGTCGGCACGCCGTTAGTGGCCTGAGGAAGAATGGAGATGGAACCTTGAGGCATACTCTGCGGATGGCCGAGGCTGTTGGGAAGATTGGGCTGTAGATTAGCAGGTAACGTTGATCCCTGACTTCCAGGTTGCTGCTGCTGCTGCTGCTGCTGCTGAGAGGCTAAATTTGAAGACTGAAAGTATTGGGGTACTTGAGTCTGAGACTGAACCTGCACGGTGTTATGCTGTATATTCTGAGCAATTGAATTGTTCATTGCATAACTCGCACCAGGTATTGTTCCAGTACCACCTGCCATTCCCATCATTCCGTGAAGTTCTTGGTGAGTTACATGGCCGTTCAAGTCCAAGCTTCTACCTGAAATGCAAAACTCCATCTTAAAAACAATTAATTAATAAAGTGTGAAGAAATTTCTTAAAAACATCAAGACTTTTGAGTGGTGCAAGTGAGAAAGAACAAACCTTTTTCGTCTGCAACGGAATTTTGCTTGAGTGCATCAGGCACGACGATTCCGCTGTCCGTGACTCCGTACGATATGCACACCTCGTTCGGATCAGGAACTTTTGCACCTCCAATGACATTGGATTGATTGACCGATGTGTGATCGAGGTAGTCCATACACGTCCATCTTCCACGTTTGAAAGGCTCGGTACTTTCGATTTTGACAACTTTGAACCGCTCGTTTCTGCCGTGAGGGTGAACCTCACGCAGTTCGGGGTCCTGCTTTGCGCCCGCGGAAATCAGGTTGATGATGTTGTTGTCAGTGACAGAAGCAATGTCCAGATTGTTAATGTTATTTTCGTTGACAGAATTGCTGACGTTGCTCCCTTCAGACGGCACTATTGCGAGGCCGTACTGGGAGCTTGTTGGGATCACCGGTGCCGAACCAAGGGCAACGTTACTTGTATTGAAAAAGACGTCTTCCTTCGAAAACGTATCTTCTGAGTAGCTCGGCGTCTCAAGGTCGGTGATCCGTGAATGCTCCACGGAATTGTCTTCAGTGTGCGACTCATCCAAGTCGTCGTTCGAATCCTCTCCAGCATCGTTGCTCATGCGGCAAGCAACTGTGACGCTCGTGATTTGGAAAGAGGAAGTCTTTTTGCGGCACTGGTTATTATTCGAAGTTGAATTACTCTGTACAGCTAGATTAGCTGGTGGAAGTAACTTGTCTGGGTCAGACAATCGTATCGTTTCAGACGTAGTTCGATGCACAGGAGTTACAATTTTTCTATTCCCTGTAACATTTCACATATTCTCTTTAATATATTTCGAAACTCATTATATTTATTTCAAAATGGTAAATAATTTGTTCATTAATCAATTTGAATTTTAAAAATTGTTTCAATTTTTTCATATTTGCTTATCTCAAAAAAATATAGTTTTTCTTATTAGTCACTTAAATTTACTTATATTATAGATCTTTGAATTTCAGAATGGTACTAAAGGCCTATTAGTAAATTATTATTCAAAAATTGAGGGTCTGGATTTCATAAGGTGTTATACGAGTTGGTGCAGGTCCCCTTGCGCAGCCATTGACTCGCTGTACCTTATAGAATTATATAAAAGAATTGTTAATTTAGACAATGACATGAATTTTAATAAAACTTACTACTTAGGAGTTTTTGGGATCGCAGATTATAAATCCGATATCAATTTTTTCGAAATTTAAAATGTCCAATTTTTTCAATTTCGTTTAAATTAACAATTTGTTTATAACAATTGACTAATGTGTCGAGAAAATTATTCCTTTCTCAATTAATAATTATATTGTTATTATATATATTATTCATAATATTATTATATGTGTATTTTGGCACTATTGGACTTATCTGCATGAGTGTATTCTTCATTAAATTTCCAACAATTTGAGCGGTCTTAAGCCGCTCTAAGTGAGAAATTCGCCAAGTTATAGAGAGATTCAAAGTTAGAAATTCCAAAAACCTAATTTAGAGAAAAACGAGTTTGAAGTTCAAATCTACCATTAGTTCCCATGTTAATTAAAAATTAAAAATAAGAATAATAATTGTTTTAATTACAATTAAGTCATCGTGAAAGCATAATAATTTAACGTGGAACACTTTGTAGTTTGATTTTCAACAATAAAAAAAAAAGTGAAAAATCTGAACCACTTTTAGAAAATTGCGATTATCTCCTAAAATAAAATCGACAAAGTGGTCCCTTCTCATGCGGACGTACACATATTTGTCAGTTATTGAAAAAATTTATTCCTTTTTGAATTTATCATTATATTATTATATAGCTATTTTGGGAAATCCGATGTATAAGCCGAAAAGATTTTATTGAAATGGGTAGAATCGTTCTTGATATAATATAGAAATAGTAATATCATTACTACTATTACATATAGTAGGCTTACTCGGTAAGGTGGTAGTGAGTTTATACTGTTAGCTTACTGTGAAGTAATTTTATTTCACAAACTCTGTCGGGGTCTCTCAACTACTTTACAAAATATATCATTTTTTATGAAAAAACTGTATTATAATATAAATTTTAATATTATTCCAAAATTAGCGATCTTACAGTAACCTTTCACAAAGCTTAGAATAATCTTACAATAATCTAACAATATAAACTCACCACAACCTTATCGCGTAGGCGTACCAGAATCTTACCAAGTAAGCTTACTGCAACCTTCACATTTAAGCTTACAACAATTTTTACATGGAACTTTACGATCAGGGCGAAAGTTTTAAGTTTTTAAACCACCTTAAATTTACTACAAGTTGTACGTTTAACGCATACCTGAAGTTTTGTGCTAATATTGTGATAAGTGGCATCACTTAATTTTCGAATAGTATTTTAATTTCAAAAAGCAATAAAAACATCAATTCATTAGTTGGTCTTTTTTAAAATTAAAGGTTCCAGAGTGACTAATATCATAAATATTCGCCAGTCTGATTCATGTGCAGTTAGCAACACTTTTTCAAAATATCAAAGTACTTTTAGATTTCTCAGTAGATTAGCAATAATTCTAGAGTTCTCTTATAAAAGAAAAATAGTTTCAAAAAATTAAAAAATTACTTAAAAAATTTTAATTTTTTAAAAAAGTTGTGCACTTTAAACTTTTAAAAAAATTTCAAAAACCTCAAATTTAAAGGTCTGCGAATTCTTATTAGAGTTCTGGAATCGCTGTATCGTTCTAAAAATAATTCTACTAAAACGTAGGTCTTAACTCAAAGTCCAAAAATGAGCTGCAGTTCAAAATTTTTTAATTTTGCAAATTTAGAGTTCTAAATTTAAAATTTTTTATATTTATAGTAAAAATTTTATATTGATTTTTGTTTGGAAATTTTGAAAATTTCAAAGTGCAGCACTTTTATTTGTATTTTTAGTTTTGAGCAAATTGTCACTCTGAAAACTTAAATTAAAAAAAAAGAAAAATTTTGAATATTTTAAAGTTCGGCTCTTTTTTTATTTTGATTTTAGAGCAATGTCATAAGGGTCATTTGTAGAACTCTTAATGAAAATAATGGTGCTACGTGAAGTTAGCACTCAATTTTTTTAATACATATCACGTTTTTTGATGCTAATCACCAGAACTATTAGAAAAAACGTTTCAAAACTCTAGAACTATCGCCAAACTACTCAGAACTCTAAACATATCTTTGATTTTTTGAAAAAGTGGTGCTAACTGCACATAACTTCAGTCTGCCGTCATTCTGCAAATTTCTGTTTAAAAGAATTTTTTCGATATTTGGATTTTTATCGCAAAAGTGAAAGGATTATCTACTGTCTTGATAATTCAGTTCTAGAGAATTGAATTTTTAAACTTTTATTTTCGCACAAAAAATTATAAGTTCTTTTAATTTGAAAAGATATTTCATATGAAATGTAAAATTCAATCTTCAAACATGTAGCAGTATTTAAAAAATCAATATTTTTCAATTAAAATTAATATTTTTACTACGTGGCTCCATAGATATAATTACATAAAAAATTTTAAAAAAACTCTCACTTTTTGCATACTTCTATTTTTTAAAAGTATTTTTACATTAAAAACATATTTAATCCTCTTTCAAATAATCTATACCTATATATTTTCATTCAGCTTGATAAATTCTGAGTAATTCCTAAAAAAAGATTTGATATTTTGTATTTAAATCACTTTCTACACTAGTCTATAAAATAGTTTAATCTTTTTCTAGACTCATGTTATTATTATTATTATTATTATAATTATTATTATTATTATCGTCAAAAATGGAGTAAAATCCATTTTGAACCAAAAATAGAGTTGTGGTATAAAATGTAATTTTTTTTCAATTCGTTACAATTCTTTACAAAGTATAAAATACAAAAATTATTTTTCGATTTGTTTATTCAGTATAAAAAATAAAATTCTATGAAAAAAATTAGTCGTTTCTGAAAATGTGAAATTGGACAATTTTAATGACAATCTAACTCTATTTTTGTAATCTATTGTATTGAAAATAGAAGTACAAATAATGCAGTATTGTTTCGAAATATATAAACATATAGCATAAATGTGAACAGCGACAATTATGATACGTAGTAGTGATACGTGAGATATAGATATGATCCTAAATTTAACTCTTCAGCTGAATTACCTTAATCTCTTTTTAGTCATAATTAACTTAATGAGCTCTGTTTTTTCAACATAAAAATACTGTTACGTTATCAAATTTAGTACAATCTTGAACTAAAAATTAAATTATCACATTTTATTGATAATAACAATGAAAAATTAAACAAAAAATTAGCAATGATAATGTTTATAATTATGATAAGATTTGGAAAAATATAAAACTTAAGGCTACTAATAATAGGAGAAGCGTTTTTTATGTCTTCATTTTAATAGAAATTAATTCGAGTCACACAAAAGAATGTGACAAATGTGTAATTTGTAAATTTAATAAAGTTATCATTCTTTCTTTCGCGCAAAAATTAGCATAATAAATAAATTTATATTTAAATATATACTATTTCCTTGTTAATGAAAAGTTATTATTATAATTAAGCAAATTATGAAAAAAATAAAGTACAAATTTTAACTCTTTATTATGAACTTATGAATAATTCTGATTATTAAGTATAGTATGACTAATGTCATTCAAAGAATTGTTGAATCAAATCACTTGTGGATATCCTGTAAAGTCCTTCTTTCGAATTTTAAATGAATTAACATTGCCGTTAGTTATATCCAAATAAGTTTTTAAAACGAATGAAGTAATAAATGAAGAATTTAAAGACAAGTGAATGAATAAATCGTTTTATGAAAATTAAAGCATGTGTACCTGCATAAGAGATAGGCTTGTCAAAGTTAAGTGTCTGTAATGTATACGATAATAAGAAAAGTATGAATGTCGAGGAAATTACGTAATTTCTAGAGACCAATTTACCAACTAAAGAATTAAATTTGCTAAAGATTAAGTTACAGTATTTCATGAATCCAATACGTTCGTAATACTACGTTTGTGTGTGTGTGTGTGTGTGAATTGACAATGACCGTTTTCCTCTTGACTCTAGTGAGTGCAACCAATAACATTGCCCCTAATCAAACTGAGTACATGTCGAGTACATTGGTGCACAGTTTAGATAGCTTAATTTTGAGTTGGGGTTCAATCGTCAAGGTCGAGAAAGATTTCCCTGTTGACGACTTCATTAAAGACTGCTTTTGTACTAATTGAAAAATGTAAAATAAATGTTAGAATTTATTGCAGATTTGTAAAGAAATAGAAAAATGTTGCGAAAATTCATGTCGAAATCGAGCAACAGATGTTGGTGTGTTTGTCAAATAGGAAAATTACCAGACGAGATTGAGTTGAAAAAATTGGTTCGGTATAAATGAATGTAAAAATAAAAAGGATGAAAGTGAGGTTATGGTGCCTCCATGTGTGTTCGTTTTTGGGGAACGGGACGATGATGTGTGCAGGAAATGAAGAAACAATTGGTCAAGTATGCGTGGGAAGAAAGCAATAAAAATTGTGGTTATATTTACCATCAGACAGCAGCTTGTGCGGTTTTCTGTGTACACTATCTGCCATTATTAAGACCACTTGGCATTAGCACTGGCATTCCAGGATATCTCTGGTATCTATCCTGTCGCATATTAAAATCGACATCGCTGATGCCTTACGTACGTCTCAATTAATCTGTTTAGTCAATGTATCCGGTATGGCAACGCAAATTGTACAAGCGTTGTTCACCGGCAGTCATTCAGTAACATTTCAGAATTAAAGGATGCTCAACAAAAGTGAGATGATAGTTGAACGTACATTATTCTTAATTTTTCAAGGTGTTGACAGTTCACCGTTTAATAAATCTCACGGTGCTCAAGTGATTGTGCTGATGTACCGTCCGCTACAAAAGACGCAAAAAACCAAACTCTCTGACCGATTAAAATCACCTACTTTTCTTAGCTCAATAATATCCACGTTTCGTTTAATAGCATACGCTTACAGAACTAAATTCACCCAAGTTCCGCTGAGCCATTTTCTATCTGCTTTTTTGCTTTAAATTTTACGGTAGTGTGAAGTTTAAAAATGGCTGACCATTCATTCACTCGCGAAATGACCACGAAGCATAACAATTTTCATGACAGTTCGGAGATGTAGAAAATTCTTCAATGAACTAAATATATAAGTATTGCCTTCTACTACTGTCAAATGTGACACGAGAGAAAGAGAGAGGGAGCAAATCGTTGACCATCTTGTCATTCTCGTTTCATAATGGCCAATGCACAATAGCTTCGCGAATGTGGCTGTTTGCTTGCCTGTGTTCTAACGCTGATTTTTGCGTTATCTTATTTTTGCAATAGTAAAGACCTGAACAGAATAGATTCTTGAACGGGAACCCAATCGTAAACGCAACCGGAAGAATAAGTTAGAGAAGGACAAACTATCTATCTATCCTTCTCTAACTCATTTTTCCGGTTGCGTTTGCGATTATATTTCTGTTACGTTTCTATTCTGCTCAGGCTTCAAGGGCTCCGACCAGGGATAGGTAAAAGTGCTTTTCTGGAGGCTTTCTACGTATAATACATAAATAACGTATTATACGTATAATACTGTAAAAAACCAGGTTTTCGACATTGCAGCCACATCAATGGCAACATAACCTCTTTTTGTTATTTAATTTCTGGTTTATTGTTGGTAAATAAGTATTAATTAATAAATAAAATATTGGTCAATTAAAAACTTTCAGTTGAGTTAAATAATATTATCTTATTTGAAATAATTTCGTAAAAAATTTTAACATTTTAAATGTGCTTTCGTTCTCAATTTAGAAGAGAAATACTAATATAATTTAAATTTTATCTAAGCATCGATAATTAATTTTTGCCAATATTAGGCTCTGTCACTTGTGACGTCAGAGGCCTGGAGGGACACAAACAGACGACACAATGTTATTCTTATGGAGAAGAAAATTAGGTTCCACTTTCATCAATTTTATTCATACTTTAAACATGGAAAACGCTTGTTGACATATAATAAAATTAAAATATGTGTTGATAATTAATTTTGTTATATATTTCATTCAATTGCATTGATAGATTCTCTCAATTCGTGATAAAATATAAATTTTGAGGTTAGGAGTGTTTGTTTACTAACTTGACCTCTGACGTCATATCTTGAACTCGAAATATCTCGATGAACTGACACGACACAGCCTAATAAGGTTATTCAAGTTGGGTGGGGGAAAGCCAAGCTGGTGCACAAACATCCGGTCTATCAGCACACATTTCCACGTATTTCTCGTGGGAATGAATGCTGATAGGCTGATAGGCCGGATGTTTGTGCACCAGCAATCATCCATCTTGGCTTTCCCACACCCAACTTGAATAACCTTATACCAAGCATGCGCTAAAATCCCAATTCTGAAACGGCCTCAGAGATTGTGAACACAACCTAATTTAATATGTTGCTCGTCGGATTATGGCGGTAAAAATAGGCAGTTGCAGTAAGCATTTAAGCAAAGCGTTGTTTTGAAAGTGTATTTTAAAATTTGACAGATGCTAAACTATTGAAAGAATATAATTGTTTATTGACAAAATGCATCAACAGCTAAGAAATAATATTCGTGATTTATTTAATAAGGCGCAAACCAGTAAAACATGCCATAAGAGTGTTGGAGATAAGATGAAAGCCTGTTATGGAAAGGTATTTCTGAAATTTATAGGTTATATTATTTTTAAAATTTAAATTTGTTTATGTATTTTATTACTCTCAGTTATTATTTATTAGAGCTTAATTAATAAAATATACATGTCTTGTTAATAAAACAATAATATTACTAAACAATTTTATTTTAGAATACATTTTATTGAAATTAAATGTAAAATCATCATGTTAATATAATTTAAAGAATGTTTATTAAAACTTTTATTTTTAAACCATTCCTAAAATTATTTATTTTCTAATATATCTTAGAAAACATTTACATATATGTAAATTCATTTACTTATATAGTGCCCTTTAATGGTTTAAAACCTCGGGCTTGACATTTGTTTCAAATAAAAAAAAAATTAAATTACATTTTATTGCATAAAAACTACAGATCGTACAGATGAAAATAAGCACAGCTTGAACAAGAAGAGAGTGGTTTTTTTATGAAAGATCTATATGTTCATTTCATGAATATTTTGCTTCCTCATAAAAAATAGTTTTTTCTGTAGGTACTTCTTTTTCTTCATGATTATATGTATGATTATTAGGGTGGCCAAAAAATACATAGGAAAAATAATTTTTTAGAATTTTCTTGTTCCGTCCCCCTGAAATTGTTCTAAATGGAAAAAAAGTGACTCGTATTTTTGATATTGTAATCGATTGATATTTAATGACCCTTGAAGTTTTTAAACAAATTATTATTTTTTTTCATAATAAAGCTATAAAGCTGCAGTTTTATCTTAGTTTTATACCTTTTGTTACCGATTACAATTACTGTGATTAAAAATTATCAAAACGTAGTTAATATATATTTTTTTAATTATTCTTGTTATTCATTAATTATCTAAAAATACGCCTAAAAACACTAGTAGATTTTTCTGAATTTTACATTGAATTTTTCCTGTTAAATACGATTTTGACAAATGAAATTCAAAAAAATTGTTGAATGTTTATTAAACTTATTGGGAGACGAAAAATATGTTTTTAATAAATTATGTTTTGGTGATGGTAGTCAGCAAAGTAAGATGTAAAATTCAGAAAAAATTAGAAGATTCTTAGAATTATTTTTAGATAATCACCTAGAAACCTACCATTATTTAAACTACTTTTTATTAAAGAAAACTATGTAACAAATTCAGTAATCAACAGACTGAGCAATGAGGCAAACCAGTTTAACAACAGCCAATTAATACAAACCACATACAATGTATCTCTATAGTACTCTGTACGAATGAGCTTTGCCCGTATATTTTCAATAAATAAATAAATAATTAACAAAAAAACAACAATTTGTTTAAACAAATGTTATTGTTCCTTTTAGACAACAATTTTAAACGGGTTATAGTAGATAACAAGGTAAGTTGTAAAATTCAGAAAAAATACAATTTTACAGCATTATTCTGAAAAAATAAATAAATAACAATAATTTGTTGAAACAAATTTAATATTTTCATGACATCGTCAGTATTCATTAATTTCTTTGTAGAAAAAATAAATTTTATGCAAAAAATATCGATAAAATCATTAGAAACACTTTTAAATACGTATAGGGGAGGATGGGGCAAGGATAGTTAGAGCTATTACGGCTTGATAAAATCCTGCTAATGCGACTGTAAATTATAAAAAAATGTTTAATTGTTCTTTTCATATTGATATACATAATGGTACGTAATTATATACGGAAAACGAAGCTTATTGACCAAGAAATTGGTGATCATCTGAAGAAAATTGGTTAAACCTCAGATTTTAGTTCAGACGAATTTTAATGCAATAATTGATATTTAGAAAATGTTCAAAACATGTTGTTAATACTTGATATATCAATATTGAATAGTCTAAATCCACTAAAATAAAGAAACCGAAAATGTACTGATTTTCTATGACAATTTTAGCATTCGGATTCTTTTAATTATCCATAGTTAAATATTTTTTTTTACTTTTCATTCGTATCTCGTAGGGATTGCACTCTACAGCAAAATAATGTATAGCAAAATTATAGCCAAATAACCAGGCTTTCCAAAAATACTACTCGTTTGCAGATACAAATTCCTGAAGAGAAATATTGTTTGCCGATTGTAAAATATTAATGTGTAACGATTTTATTGCAATTTTACGAAAAAGCAGCTTTTCCCAATGAAATTTCGAAGGCCTAGCGGCGTCATTAAATGTCGACCGATTACAAAATAAAAACATACGGATCTCTTTTTTTCCATTTGTAACAATTTTAGGGAGACAGAGCAAGACTTTTTTTGTACCACCCAATAAAGATCAAGTAATTTGTTTTTAATTTTAAAAATTTAATTTAAATGTAAAAGTCTAAATTACAGGAAAAATATAAATAGTTTTGATAGAAAATGCCTTATTTAATCTTTTCTTCAAATTTTTCATCATTTTTTATCAGTTTCTTCTGTTATTATTATTAGTATTTATCTATTGCTATTTTTGACTTCTTTTAATAAGGTCTTAATTTTCTCTTAATTTAACATTTTTATAAATATAGAAACTTTTTAATTGAAAATTGTCACTTTGTTGATTTTTTCGATTTTTAAACGTTAATAATTTTTTTGAGAAAAAAAAAGATAAATTTAAAACTTGTAGAATATTTAAATTATTATTGTTGAACATTAAAAAAAATACTGCAGCCATTGAAGATTATTGATATTTCGGGTCTTTAAAAATGGGTTTAAAGATTTGATGACAATTTTTTATGGAATAGGTAACAGAATATTTTTTTCAGTAATAGTACTTTAAAAAGATAGGTCCTCTATTTTCAGACAAACCTTGACGATTTCGCTGGGGAATTTATATCCTGCCTCATGGTTCCTTTGACAATTGGAGACAAGCATCCAGTTGTTGAGAACACTTTAATATTTGCAGCAAATTTTGCAGTTGGATTTCAGTCAGTTGACGAAGACAGTAATGTCGAACAGATGGATCCTTTTATGCTAAAAATTTTTGACTTTTTAATGAAATCGCAAACTGCTGTCGATCCTGGTGTGAGATATCGAGTTTGCTACTTTTTAAACATGCTTTTAACAGCAATGGGAGATAATGCTTACATAGATGACACTCTCTGTGACAAAATCATTAGCAGTATGTTGGATCGAGTGCTGGATAAATCTTCCAAGGTTCGAGCACAAGCTATTCTCGCTCTTCAGAGACTACAAGATCCAACTGATGAGGATTGTCGTGTCACGAAAGTTTACATGTTTCACCTTGCTAAAGATCCTAGCAATGAAGTTCGGAGAAACATTTTAAATTGCATGGCTAGAACTCAGAGGACCTTATTATGTGTATTAAAGAGAACTCGGGATATTAACGATCTAGTGCGAAAAGCAGCTTATACTTTTCTATGTAAAATCTCTGTGAAATCGCTCAGTATAAAGCAAAGAGAAGAATTACTTAGTGATGGCCTCAGGGATCAAAGTGACATAGTCAAAAATTGTGTAAAAAGAGATTTAATTTACTCGTGGTTGAGGAATTACAACGGTGACTTTATTGCATTGTTACGTGCTCTAGATCCTGGAATGAATATTAAAGGAATGGAAACTGCAGTTTTAACACTTAAAAGTCTACTTGAGTAAGATTTTCTACTTTATTTTATTTATCAGAAAGTATATATAGTATATATGTCCCAATTCCATAACTCGTTCGACGCTCGGAGGCACGCTCTATTGGTAGTCGGGTAGCACCGAGCGTCAATGGTTCACTCGACCACCAATAGAGCGTGCGTCCGAGCGCAGATCGAGTCATCGAATTTTTATTCAGCAGCATTTCATAAAGTAGATTTTATAATGAGCCTAATTTTCATATCAAAGAATTTCTATTTAACTAAATTCTGAGTTAATAGAATTTATATTTAACTGAATTTTTATAAAGTAAATTTTCACTGTCACTGAGTCATTGAGGCTTTTAATGTAGGTGAAACTCGACGATTTTCTAAGTTCATTACCCATAATATTAATGTAAAAATTTTATTTCCTTTGATAATTTCAATTAATAAAAGTAAGTGGTTCACGGTGTGATTTCGTAACATTAAATTTTTCAATTTTTTAAAAAACTAAATTATCGAAAAACTATTGTACATACTTACTGGAACTTATCAAAAACATAAATCATTTTAATCTGCATTTAAAAACTTTGGATTTATTAGAAAATTTTATTATTATTCGATAAAAAGTGATTTTGAAATTTTTTTTTCAATATAATTTAACAGTTTTTTTAGTTATCCTTTTTTTGGCGGGTCTCGAAAAAATTTGAAATTTTACTCATAAATTTTTAATAATATTATTTATCTTCTATTAAAATTTGACCAAGGTGTTTTGCTTCGTTTAGGAAATATAAGATTTTATTTATTACTTAAAAAGGTTATTTATATATTAAAAAAAGAAGCAATGTGAAATTGGTCAGTTAACTTGAAGTCAAATACTTTTTCAGAACCTCAGAAATTAAGGTTTTGTTGGAACAATTACCTGTTGATGTGCAGACACGGCTGATACCATTGGATAAAATAAATTGTGAGAATGTACTTTTCTGGCGATGCGTAGTAGAACATTTAAAACGAGAAGGTTGCACTGAAGACCTGGAGGACATAATTCCGGAACTTTCACAGTTTTGTACATTTATTAGAGAATTATTGGTATTAATAAGTTCAAAGCAGTTGGAACCATGGGAGCGTTTAATGCATCAGTTTATGCTTTGTCAGTTATTTGAAATGGTTAAGCAGTACGATCTATCGGATGAATGCGGGAGAGATAATTTACGATCATTAATGGTGGATACATTGATGCATGAAATTTGCTCAGATAAAATTGTGCAATGTATCGTTGAATATTTTGATCAAGTTATTCCAGATGTAGATAGAAGACTTACAGCTTTGGCAGAAGTTATAAATGAATTGCGAAGACCATTAAAACAAACTCAGACGCAACAAGTTTCTCAATTAACTTCAAGTCAGGCAAATAATAAGAATATGTTGGTAAGTTTAAATTGTTATACTGAAAAAATACTAAATAAAGTATGTAATAATTTATTATATTTGACTTTGTTTTTAGAAAGCGAAATTGAAAGTAAAGTTATTGGATTTGAAAGAAGAGCAGTATAATGAAATTCAGAATAAAAACTACTTGAAAGCCGAAGAATTAAAAATGCAAATTGAAAGTGTGACGGCCGAAATTCAAAGTATTACGGAGGAACTTGCCATACCAATGATCACGGATGATGTTGGAGAAGAAATAGAGAAAAATGATTCTCATACAATGACAATTTGTTTAGAAATAATGTGCTCAAGTATGCAAAGTCCATCCATTAAGTCTTTACATCCAACTTTGAGAAGTTTATTGGATCACATGGTTGTCGAAAATTTGGGAGTAAGATTTAGAATTATGACATTCAGTCATTGAAGATTTTTTCTCTTTTCTATAATGGAATTTTTATTTACAGCATCAAGACGTAACTATACACGAGTTGGAGCTGAAGACAATTGTAATTTGCTGCTTACTGGATGGAGAGTTGGCAAAAAAGTACTTTACGATGTTCTTTCTTCCATTTACTGATTTCCCAGATGATTATAGGATGTGGATTACTGCCCTAAAGGCAATCTTTGACTTACTTTTGCGTTATGGCTTAGAATTCTTTAACATTCCTCAGGCAGAGGATGAAATTGGTGTGAATGAGAGAAGTAAACGGAACAGAACTGTACGATTGTATACAGAAAATGACGAAGTTTCGTCGGTTAATAATGAACGGTTCGACGTTGAAGAAGGGGGAGATAAATTCATTAAAATAATAACTGGATTCTTGGATCATGAAGTAAGTTTTTCACAGATTACATTAATTGGAAATTAGCAGAATAAAAAAATGACATTTTTTAAATTTTGCATTAAAAGTATAATATGTAATAGTTAATTTGAATAAAGGCAAAACAAATACATTGTTTTAGGATCAGGAAGTACGATTCACGGCAACAGAGGGTCTCACGAAATTACTGTTCTGCAGGAGAATCAACAGTCCTCGATTATTAGCACGCTTAATAATTCTCTGGCACAATCCAATGTCAGAAGGAAACACATATCTCACTCAGTGCCTGTGTACGTTCTTCAATAACTTTGCTGTACACGTTCCTGACAGTCAAACTATGTTGGAAGAAGCGTTTTTACCAACTTTAAAAACTTTAGTAAATGCCCCTGAAAGAAGTCCTTTGCAAGCCATTGACCCTCTCAGAATATGTGAGATTATTTTAAGTCTTACGAGACAAGGAGTTCATAAACGTTCATCTGTCAACGTGCATAATGATCTTGTCTTCACAATTCTTTCCGAATTATTGAATCCGAATTGCGAAATAGAACCAACTGTATTAGTAAGATCTCTGAAATTCTTGGAAGTTAAGTTGGAAATTGAATCACTGAAGGAGAATTTGAAAGAAGCGTTGGACAATACAATTGAGAAAGTAAGAGAAAAATTTTCAAAAATATTCAACTCAAAATTTTGAGTATTAAAAAAAATCTCGTTTTTTATTTCAGGTACAAGAAATTGACAAGCGTTTAGTTAAATACATCGAGCAATTTAAAGCGAAACTAAATGTGACTGATACGAGGGAGGCACAGGATGATGATAACGTTAGTGAAACTAATAGTGAATCTTCAAATGATTTATAACAATGAAATAATGACAAATTCATTTTCAAAAGTATTTATAAAAAATCTTTTCTTATATTACAAGATTATATATTTTATATACATGAATTTTGTAAAGAATTAATTTTCGTAAACTAGAAAAAAATAAAACGAAAATAAACATTCGTCTTGGAGAATGATGAAAATAGATTTGTGCTGGATGTTTAATTTACAATGCATTCAATTATTCACCGGTCATCTTCTTTTTGACTATACAAATGAAGGTCTTCTAACGTTAAAATAGCAAGGTACCTATTGTTGAATTCGAAAGAACACGTGTCTACTACGGAATTATGTACAGGTAATTTAAACATCTCTTTCCCAGTGGAAACACTCCAGAGAACAACGTTACTCGTACTGTCGTTGTTTGCAACAACTAATGTATCATCTTGTAAATACATATGACAGGGTCTTGAGAGAATTCTCTGTGCATCGCCTGCGTGAAACGTGTGAACTATATTACACTGAAAGCCATCCTCCTCATTTCTCTCCACATTGCAAACATAATGCCGAACATGCTGTTGTCTCGTATTTGAACGACAGGAAACCAGACAATTGTTGTTTTTTTCATCGTAACGCACCGACATAAACGGACCCTCAAGATTCATTCTATTTCCTTGATAGATGCCATCTTTCACAGTATATGCATAACAAGTATTTAAGTGACAAGCCAGCAGTCCTCCTGGAAACAGAGTATGCATGTAGAGATTTATCAGAAGAACAGATTGGTATTCAATCTGGAGAAATTTTAATAAAATAATTTCATTCCATTTCAGAACCACTCAAAGGTTTCTACAACCTTACACACACGTATCTTTAACAAAGAAAAAGTTGGTACCCGATGCCGAAAATTTGTTTTTTTATGCATTATAATGAAAACAATTTACACACATACTCGATAGAAAATTTTCAATTATTTAAAGAAAAATTTCTATTCTGAAAACTTTGGATTAGCTTTTCTTGATTTTCTGTGATGAAAAAAGTTTCTAAATTACCGTCCTTGCAAACAATTTTTCCACCACATAAGGCACAAATTTTTTTATATTTCTGTTACAGATGGAATTCCGTAAATTTTTAATTTTTTTTGTTAAATATTATTCATTAAAAATAATATTTGTTATAAAAATATTGTAAACATTCTTCTCAATTATAATCAAACATCAAATGTAACACACACACATACATATATAAATTTTTCTAATCTTAAATATTCAATTATTAATTCAAATTTATTTAACAATTATTATTGATTATTATTGAACTTCATGTTGCGAAATAACACGGACTAAAAATATGATCAAGTTTGCCAATTGTGGCATTTACAACGTATAAAAGTTTCCACATTAGTTTAAAAAATTAGGAAATATAAGAAATCATAAAGGTAATTCAGGTGGTTGAACCGATCACGCCACTAATAAAATGCAAGTTTGCTAAAACTTGCATGGAAACAACGAGGTGCTGATTGCAAAATCAACCCTCCCACTACTTAAAATTACATACCAACAGGGTGTGATCGTTGCCACCGAATTATTGTTCAAAGAGTCTTAATTTGTTTTTCCTGCAGAGCGGATGTGTTTCCCGCAAAGAGGCGGATGAATATAAAGTTTAACTCCCACTAAGAGTGGTAGAGAGTATTATTTGTTCCCCGCAGTAAGGGTTGAAATTCGTCGAGTTTGTTTATAAAAATACAAGTGAAATTTTCCACAATCTGTGAAATTGATTATCATCTAAAAGTTCATTAAAAAAAAGGGAATTGAATCATTCAGTATAAAGTGTCATAAATGGTTAAAGCGTAGATTCAGCTAAAAATCTTAAGTGTTTTATTAAATTCACATTTGTTTATATTTGAAATTATCTTTAGAGAAAATTCAGACTTGGTGAACCCAATGCTCTGAATTTTAAAACGGATTTTTGAAATAGTGAAATAATTGATCATAAAGTAATCGTTGCAAATGTATTGAAAATAAAAAGATATAAAGAATTAAAAGGAAGTAAAAGCAACTTCCGCATAATTGAAGTCGTATGACAAACACGAGTGTTGAACTCCACCGAGCTCAAAAGTAATTTGATACTTTTCTGTATCATTTTAATTATTATTATTCTGGTGAGTTACTCTGAATATTTATTCTCTATTTGAAAAATAAAGAATCTCATAAAGAAACATTCACATCACACACACATTTTTTTTACACATACAATTTATTATTTGTTGTCTCAAATTTATGAAGAACCAACTATTTTCGTTTTATTATTGAATATTTCTTTCATTTGATCATTTTGCTTTTTTTGATTGAAATAAACCATTCTTTGTGAGACTTGAATTTGTTCAAGTAGCTTAACGTAAATGGCTTTTTAATGGTAAACAATTTTTTTATCAAAGATCAATTTGGGAACTAGATGTACACTGTTTGGGGGTTGAGTGAATAAATGTAATCTTCTTTTGTGTTAATTCAAGTTTTGATTTATTTAATCACCTTTTGATGTTTTTGTCTCATTTCTCTTTTTAATCATTTTCACTAAAATACCGTCTATCCGGGTGTATTGAATAAATAATATTCTAAGTGACAGTCCACTACCTCAATCTAACTTTGTTAGCGAAGAGCAATTTTCGCTTTCCAAATAAGCGGAATTGTTAAATAATAAAAATTAGTATTCTTTCTAAATATTTATTATTTCTCGTTAAATTATCTATTTTTATTTTTTTTGTTAATTAACATCCGTCTTTAACAATTTCAATCATGACAACACGCGTAATTTAACTTGTAGTAATAACTCATTTTCAAATAGATTAAAAATAAATCAACTACATCTACAAAACTTTGAACTAATTTTTTTTTTAAATACAAATTGCAATAGCACTAACTAACGTTGCGTATATTAATGAGAATAAGAAATGATAGAAAATTCGGAACATCTAATGTTTACATCTGCGGTGTTCTAAGGAAAATACTCTCTTATTATTTTTGTTGACAGTACGGATTTAAAATCACAATATTGATCATGTAACTTTTATTCCCAAAAATTATAGTAATGTATTATTGTTGTTATTATTATTTTTAAATTTAATAAGTGTAAAAAATTGCACTAGTAATTTCAACTCATCTGCACATCGTAATGAAGCAATTTTTCAGAATAATGCATAAAAAACAATAAATTCATAAAAAATCATGCAGGAGGATCGATTATGATTTTAAATCTTTGAAATTTTGTTTATTTAGGGTATAGAGATTCAAAATATTCCAGAATTTTTTTTCGGCATCGGGTACCAACTTTTTCTTCATTAAAGACAGGTGTGTAAAGTTATTATGGAATATTTATTTAATCCTTTGAAGCATACATTTTTCTAGTAAAGGAATTTAGTGATCAAGGGCACTATATGTGGTTCTCGTGGTCACTGATTAAGAATCCGAAGTCAAATTTTACATATTTTTAAAATTCAATATGGCGGACAGAAAATTAAAAATTCATTGGATTTGTTTGAAACTTGTTACTTAGAGGTTTTTGAGGTCAATGATTACGAACATAATGTTGGATTTTCGAAATTCAAAATGGCGCATACAATATGGAGGACAAAAAAATTTTTTTTCAAATCAATCGTATTTGTCATTTTGATTCTTTTAAATCTGACTTCATATTCGTAATCAGCGACCCCAAAGTCCCCAGTGAAACAAGTTTTAAGCAAATCCGATCAATTTCTAATTTTTTATCCAACATCATATTCGTAATTAGCAACCCCAAAAACCTCCGAGTAACAAGTTTCAAGCAAATTCGATCAATTTTTAATTTGGTAATTTTTCAAAATCTGATGCCAGATTCGTAATCAGCGATTCTAAAAATATTAGAGACATTAATGTCAAATTATATTGTATACTTATTTACTTTATCACAATTACATTTATTATTATTTTTTTCGCACTGACATGAAAAAGTGACTTTTTACTAAATGTTTTGGTCCGCTAAATTACTACTTTTTAAGGCAATTCCTGACAATTGCCGTAAAAACTTTTTTTTTAGCAGTTTCACTTTTTCATGTCATTTGCATTTCACCAAATTTTTGTTTAACGTAAATAATGGGATAATTGCGCGATTGAGGGAGAAGGGTGGAGGGGTTCGAAAATCTAACGTTACGCATTTCTATACTTCTATTCCTTTTATTTTTATATTTTTCGTCTTTGACACGTTACTCTGATTAATATTATAATGATAAATATAATTTACGATAAGTAAGGAGAATTTATTAGGTTTAATTAATATATTAAAAAAATTATTTTTGGGGAGGTATAAATTGTTTTTCACCGTTACATTTACAGGGGGGGGGGGTAGTATTACACTTTATACCGAACAAAAAATCGACTTTTTTTAAAATTTTCATGTTACAAATAACCTTACTAATATAATCTTAAAGTACCGGTTCAAAATTCGAAAAAATTAAAAAGTTATACAATTAAATAAAGCGCAGTGTATTTGTGAAGCTTGTAACATTCACGTTTTTATTTTAAAAAACAAGTGTATGCACCATTCGAAAGAGCAGTTTTTGGCACATAAGAAATGTTAATTGCAAAATTTTTTTCATAAAGTTTAAGTTCTAAAATACAGTGTTAAACGTTGACAAAAATTTGTACATTTAAAAGTTAAATGTTTAAACGCGTTTTTCTTGAAACGATGTTTTTGAAACTGGCGGACAGCATAATTCGAGTTCTAATAAACCGATTTTTAAAAAAAGCTTATTTTATCGTAACTAAACCGTTTAAGCGATCCCTCTAACCCAAGTACCTGTTTCTTTTTGGTTTTATTTTTTCAGATCCAATGTCTCTGAGAGGCTGTAGCCTATCCGCCAATTGCTCAATTTTTGTGACTTCAGTGCCCTTTGGTGACCAAACCGACCCAATAAAAAAATTTTGTAAAAATTTTTTTTTTTAAAAGTTTAATGGCCTCTAATCTTATGAATATTTTTTTTCCAGTTCAAAATGGGGAAAAAGAAGGCTTTTTTAGGATGTATTTCTAAAAAAACAATGACATTTATTCAGAAATCTTTGTTTACATGTTATAAATAACTTATTCAAGAATATGAAAAAATTATTTTCTTTCACTTGTAGTCCAAGATGGCGGCGATGTACATTTTCAAAAAATGTTCATTTTTTCATGGGGGGATCGATTCCGAGATTTCTACAACAGATAGAGACATAAAATAAAAATCATTTTCTTCGTTAGATATTTATCTATGGATGGAACCTCAAAAACTGGGAAATTACTTTTTCCCTTTTTTTCTATAACAGAAATTCTGAATAAAAACATGTGTTTTTTTTTCAAGTTTTGAGAAAAACTTACCATAAAAAAAAGAACAGGACGAAAATTCCACTTTTTTGAGGTTCCAACCATAGAGAAATATCTAACGAAGAAAATGCTTTTTATTTTATGTCTCTATCTGTTGTAGAAATCTCGGAATCGATCCCCCCATGAAAAAATGAACATTTTTTGAAAATGTTGTACATCGCCGCCATCTTGGACTACAAGTGAAAGAAAATAATTTTTTCATATTCTTGAATAAGTTATTTATAACATGTAAACAAAGATTTCTGAATAAATGTCATTGTTTTTTTAGAAATACATCCTAAAAAAGCCTTTTTTTCCCATTTTGAACTGGAATGTCCCCTTAAACATTAGACTTACATTTTAATTAATATTTCAAATTAAGAACAACAGTTTTCAAAGATTTATCTCTTTTTCTCAAAGTCAAAAAATTAAAAAATAAAAAGCTTCCTCGGGAGAAGAGGAAACAAAATTAATTTAATTCACACTTTATAAAATGTTCATAGAATTCATGGAATGACATTTTCTAAAAGTGTAATTTTTGGATTCCTGACGTCAAAAAATGTAGATAAGTGAAAAATTCGAATTTAAAATTTGTTGCTATTACAATACTTCCTCCATGATAAAGTAATTTTGAAAGATGTTTTTTATTTAAAATATTAATATATAAATGAGTCTTATGTTTAATTTGTGTTGAAAATAAAACTTTTATATTATTTGTTTATAAAAAAATTGAGAGAATGCCTTATCCTGCATTTAAGGGGAAATCAAGTATTATGTAATTTTCATGAGTTTTGGACCCCCCCCCTTCCCCAAATAAGCATAATGTAATGGAAAAAATAAGAATTTTATATGGAGCGCGCTACTTGAATGACCCCTCAATAGAATTTTAATTTAACCGAATTTGCTTTTGATTGATTTTTCATTTAATCGAATTGTCATTTTATCATTCTTTTTCATTAGTTTTGATATATCATAGGAAATGTGTTACTTAGGGTAATAAAAAATTCGTAAAATCCCTGCGCTCTGAATTCTGTTAAAAAAATATGTCAAAAGATGTGGAATAAAGAAAATTTCAAATATCGTGCAAGAGTGAATTAAAATATAAATATCGTTTTACCTGTTCTGAAAGTTCCATGTGAATTGTGAGGCACGGAAGCTAAAGAGACGATAGGTGAACTGTCATCTGGATTTTGTATTATTTCCAATGATGTTCCCGTTTGTCTAATATCATACTTGACAATACATCCATTTTGTGTTCCTGCAAAAAAATAGTGATGATATTCCCTAGACCAAGCACAACTCCAGAGCTGAGCGTTTTCATCGTAATGATGTATTTCCCGACATATATCGCGAATGTCGGTCAAGATAACTCGCTTGTCAAAACCCGCACTTAGCATAATATTGGGATGATCAAGTTGAAAGTCTAAATCCCTGATAGCACCATTATGAACACTGCGGTAGGGCATAAGTGAAAATGTGTCTAACTTAATTTTACTAATTCCGTGGTCGGTTCTTAAAGGATGAGTTGTTTTTAAAGATGTCACTAATATATTGTGCCATGGATTATATGCCATTACTCGACAACCCGCCCTCTCACAAATGGTGAAGGACCGCTCTTTTTGAAGAAGCAGAGTATCATGATACATGGAACTCGTGTTAGAATGATGAAACCGTCTTGTTCTTTCATTTTCAAAATCATCGATTCGCTTTTGCATCGAGGTGATTTGATACTCGAACATTTTCACCTAAAATAACAAGTCATTTTTATAACAAAACGTGTATGCAACTTATTAATATTATCTGCGAGGATAAATAGCCAAAAGTTGTAAAACTTAATAAATTACACACGAACTGTGTTGGGTGAACTCCCTACGCTTTTTCCATATTCAGAAGTATAATCAAGGTGTCCAGCATGAAGTACAGAAACATTCCCTGACTTTATCCAATTTTTCTTTAATAAATATTTAATATTAAAAAAATTAAAGTATCAAATATTAAAGTATTTTTAAGATAATAAAAAACATTTTATTTATTAGCATTATAAACTTTTTTTTTGCACTGAAAAATTTAAAAAATTCATAAAAATGTTCATTTTTGGCAAATTTTTAAAAAGTTCCCTGACCGCTGGACACCCTGATAATACAAACTTGAAATTTATATAAAAAATGTAGTCAAAATGAAAAAAATTTTAATAAAAATATGTACAATAAAATACAAAAAGATTTATAAATATATACGTACTGGTTTAAGCAAACTAAAATCTTAAAAAACAGATTTTTTTGCTCTGTGACTGCAGGTAACCCCTTAAAAGGTTTAAGGTGTTTAATTTAAATCTCACCTTTGTTTTGTACTCTATTAATTGTCTTTCAATTTGTTCCTTATGAATATTTGCAGCTTTTAACTGTTCTTTTAATTTCTCTTCTTCGGCATTATCAAGGCAGTATAATTTTTTGGCATACAATATCCTAATGTCTTTTTTTGTTGCTTTTGTATTGCACTCTGGACAGCGGCGAGACTGAGCATTTTGAAACTGCTCCAACCATTGTTTGATACATTTGTGTCCAAATAAATGGCCACATCTCAAACAACAAAGGCGATGATCCCCGTAATTACTCCAGCCTTCGAGACAAATTGAACATTTCTGGTCAGCGTCTATACTGTCATCAGACAATCCCCCAGGGCTACTACTGATTTCAGCATACTTTCTTCTTTTGACCCGACTACCAGCTAAAGAGAAATTCAAAGTTACTTTCGCTGAATTTAAAAGGCGCTTACTTATAATATAACGTCAACTTACATTCATCTCTTTGTGGCTCTTCATTAGTTACTATAACGACTTCTTGATCCACTGGAATGTCATGGTCAACTCTATCAACGTCAACTTCTATCTCGGGGGCAGCTTCAGGTACATCACCCTCATTTTGATCTTCTATTATTATAACCTCTTCATATCTTTCAATTTGTTCTTCAGGGACCTCGATTTGTTCTTGTTGTACATCAAGATTATCTGCATTCACTGTTTTTAAAATGCAAAGTATACTTTTTATTTCTTTCTTATTAATAGGCAATTTATAAAAACAGAAATTTTAGTTTGCATGTAACATCATCATCAAAATGTTTCTAAAGTTCAATAGTAAATTGTTCAAATTCTATCACTCTATTTTCTTATATTTCAAAGCTTATCTTATAAGCAGTAGTTAATTTTTAAGTGCAGTGCTAAGGATTCTGTAGAAATTTCTATTAATAAAACGAAAGTCATGAATGACATATTAGAAAATCAAATAAAAATTCAAGTTACAATGTAAAACTTCATTAACAGTTTAAAGTATAAGTTAAATGAGATAAGTTAATTTTAAGATAAAAACACCAAACAAATGTATCCATGTGAGCTTGAAATGATATTCATCGACGATACACCCCTGAATACTTGAAACAGTGGACTAAACATGCGTAGAAACATTAAAATCTCACCAGAATCTGATTCTTCCATTTTCCAGAAATTTTGTTCAACTCAGTCATAAACAAAAAAACATATTTTACATTAAGACTGGCTACTTAATAGGTACTCACTGTTGAACAATAAAATAAATAACAAACTCTTTGTTTACTGTTTATCAACATTTAACATTCATGAAGTTCACCCTAGATTCAACAACCCATATGATGCTGTTTACAACGCAGAACTTAAACGAATTCAATTAGATGAGTATATTGAAACCTAAAAACTATATTACCTTATAGAAATTAATATAACAAGTAAAAGGGTTATTAACCCACATTTCCTTGTAAAGGTGCTTCTACACAACTTGAAATCTGTACTTGCTTTGCATGAAGCTCAAGACACAATAGCTTCGCGAACGAGATGCATGCGTTAGAAAAGGACAGATAGATATTTGTGTCCTTTTTTACCTCATGAACCACGTTCGCCAAGCTGTTCTGTTTTGGTCTTTAAAGTCGGTTCTACAATGGGCACGTTTGTACATGAACGTGTACGTTCCATGCTGACGTCACACATTTGCAGAACATTGTGACGTCAGCACGTTCATACGGAAGCTTCTATGCGCCACCACTAAGCACTCACTCGCTTTAGTACGGAAGCCTGTACGGCTCACGAGCGTCTCGGACGCAAGTGGCGGTGTTTCGTACCACAAGTGGTACGAAGTCCGTCCAACTTGTGGCAAGTTCGTTAGTTCGTGCTACTTGTTGGACAGACTTCGTGCCACTTGTGGAAAGTGGATTTTTTGAAGGGTCATTAACAAATATGACAATTCCGTTGGATCCTGTTGCTATCTATTTCGTCAGTGCTTTTCATTTCAATTTCATGTGAAGAAGAAAAAATGAATTTTATAAGATATTAGTAATATTAGCATATTAGTAAATGTCATGGAACAAACTTTTTATAGTTCACACATAAATACTCCTTCCAAACGTAAATATACATATTAATAAACTACGGATTCCACACAGAATTAAGCGGAAGTTTTTTCTTAGTTTAGAATAAAAATAAGATTTTTTGGTTATGTTGTCATTTTTTAATTTAAAATACATGAAGAGGATTTTATTTTTTAAAATTAAAAGTATATTTTTATGAATATTTAAGATTAATAAAGATGTCAATATCATTTGTTTACACTGAAATGTAATCTTTTACATATATTTTCAATTAAAAAATAACAAATTCATTTTTATTCAAAAACATTAAACGGACTTGCCCGGATGAAATTATACTTGAAATGAAAAGCACTGACGAAATAGACGGCAACAGAATACAACGGAATTGTCATATTTGTGAATGACCCTTCAAGAAATCCACTTTCCACAAGTGGCACGGAGTCTGTCCAACAAGTGGCACGAACTAACGAACTTGCCACAAGTTGGACGGACTTCGTGCCACTTGTGGTACTAAACACCGCCACTTGCGTCCGAGACGCTCGTGAGCCGTACAGGCTTCCGTACTTTAGGCCCTCTCCAGAATGGAGCTAAACGCAACGCAGACGCGACGCATCGCAATGCTAAGCAAATGGGGATGCGTCGCGTTTGCGTTGCGTTTAGCTCCATTCTGGAAAGGACCTAAAGTCGGCTCTACAATACATGGTACGCGACGCGAACGTGACGTGCTGACGTCACAATGTTAATCAAGTCGGTTCTACAATGGGCGTGAATGGACGTGAACGCGACGCGCTGACGTCACAATGTTAACCAAATGGGTGACGTCAGCACGTCGCGTACCATGGATTGTAGAGCCGACTTTAAGTCGGTTCTACAATGGGCTTGACGTGAACGCGACGCGCTGACGTCACAATGTTCTGCAAATGGGTGACGTCAGCACGGAACGTATACGTTCACGTACAAACGTGCCCATTGTAGAACCGACTTTAATGCTGACTCTACATTGGCTGCGTAAACATGTACGTGAACGTGCTGACGTCACCCATTTGAATAACATTGTGACGTCAGCACGTTCACGTTCACGTACACGTTTGCGCAGCCAATGTAGAGTCAGCATAAATGGGTGACGTCAGCACGTCGCGTTCACGTTCGCGTCGCGTACCATGGATTGTAGAGCCGACTTTAGGTCCATTCCACAATAGCTAAACGCAAAGTTAAAGCGCACGCAAAGATGACGCGCTCTTTGGTTTGGTTGGTTAGAACCAACGCGCGCGTCATCTTTGCGTGCGCTTTAACTTTGCGTTTAGCTATTGTGGAATGGACCTTACGAGGCACGATTGAATCGACCCACTCGTGCGTGCCTCGTAGGGTGCTTCGATGCGTGCCTAGTAGTGTGCTTCGTAGCGTGCTCCGTATCCGTGTCTTATGGAAGCTTTGAGGATGCTTATTTGTTTTGATTGCAACCCCAGTATAATTATTTTAAGGTGCTTTTATACCTCAAATGTCGATCAGATGAACATTATTTCTGGACCGTAAAAAGTCATTTTCACGGCAGGTATTTTTGAATTGTTTTAAACAAAAAATGTTGTTTTAAGAAATATAATATTAAATAATTGTTTTAATATGTAATAACACTTTCAAAAAGTGATAGAAAGATGATTTGATTAAAAAATTTAGCAAATTTTGCTTTAAAACGTTTCCTGCTACAAGAAAGTATAAAATGACGATGTTTGTGAAATGGTTTGTACAGTCATTCTTTCTTGTGAGTGTCTCTCAGAGTTTTGTTTATGTTATGTCGGTTCTTTTTAACTTGTAATAAATAATGAGTGCTGAAAATAAATCGGTAAGTTGAAATGTTTATCAAATAAATTTTAATTCAACTAATTGTTTCGAATAACTGAAAGAAACTTAATGTACAGAAAGTATTTGAGAGATGCGTGAAAAATTGATTTATAACCTCAAATTCGTACACATACTTTTTGTATTTTTAAATATCAAGTTTTATAATTACTTTTGATTTTCATAAGTAATTATAATTAATTTTCGAATCAAGTAGTTGAATTTAAAATTACTTAATAAACATTTCAATTTACCGACTTATTTTCAGTACTCATTATCTATTACAAGTTAAAAAGAACCGACATAACATAAACAAAACTCTGAGAGACACTCACAAGCAAGAAGCACTGTACAAACCATTTCACAAACATCGTCGTTTTACACTTTCTTGTAGCAGAAAACGTTTTAAAGCAAAATTTGTTAAATTTTTTAATCAAATCATCTTTCTATCACTATTTTAAAGTGTCCTTACATATTAAAACAATTATTTAATATTATATTTCTTAAAAAAACATTTTTTTGTATAAAACAATTCAAAAATACCCGCCGTGAAAATGACTTTTCACGCATTTTCACGGTCCAAAAAAATGTTCATCTGATCGAAATTTGAGGTATAAAAGCATTCGTAAACGTATACGTATGACGTCACCAATGCTAAACTAAATGGGAACCAACGCGACGTATACGCAACGCTTGTTCTTAGGTTCCCATTGTAGACACACCATTAGAGTTGAGTCAAGAATAGACCAAAAACATGAACGTAAACCATGATCTTACAGACTACACATAATAATTCTAACAATTTACATATTGACATAGTGGCTTTATCCCTCAAAACTTTGTTCGGAAACACTCAAATCATTTGCACATACGTTCCTCCAGGAGGCGATGTCCCTACACAATTATGGGAAGAAATATTTGGAAGAATATTTCCCTCCTGCTTCCAATCACATATTCTGTGGTGACTTTAATGCCCTCCACACCTGCTGGGGGGACAACAACTCGAACCTGAGAGGCACATCACTATTAACATTTGTCATGCGCAACGACCTCTTTCCAATGAATGTTACCTATCCAACAAGACAGAAATATGACAATTTCACGGGCAATAATCTGGATCTCTTGTTTTGCCCGTCCTCAATTTTGCAAATTCTCTGATACTACAGTTATGAGCGATACTTACTCTTCTGATCATTGTCCTGTTTTAACTAGAGCCAACATTAAACCTCAAACCTCTTCTATAACTTCTACAAGATTAAATCTAAAAAGCTTAAACTGGGCAAATTTCAAGGAATTAATTGACCAAGATTCTTTACTACTCTGCTGATCTTGCCTCAGATTCACAACCTAATGTTGTTTATAATTCTTTTGTTTCCGCCATTAGTCAGCGCACTCTAATTAATAACCCCAAACCTCTTTGGCGGAATGACAACTGTGACAAGATACTAAAGGATAGGAGAGAAAACTATAGATGGTACCAGAACAATCAATCCCCAAATAATCGAATTATTTTTAGAAAAAAGATGAGGATATTAAACAACGTATCAGACAACAAAAAACACACGGATTTAGAAAATTCTGTGAAGACATCTCCCCGTCGCGCGGTACTCAAATTTTATGAAAAACCATTAAAGCCTTATCTTCTCGCACAAAACAAAACTCAACTAATATTACAAACGACCCAACTAATATACATATGACAAAATTAAAAGGAAGAACTAATTAGAGAGGACCTTCCCCCCCAGGATATTCCCATCCTACCTCCTTCTCGTACATTTTCAGAAGAATTCCTCCCCTTCTCAAGAAGGGTTCACCAGAGACTGGAGCATCGACTCGAGAGCTTTCGCTCCATCCCCAAATATCAATTTGGTTTCAGGAGAGAAAGATTCTCGATGGATTGCGTTTCCACTCTGGTGGCTGACATAATGAATGGCTTTGCCGAATCTGCTCACAAACTGTCTATTTCTATTGATATAAAAGGTGCTTTCAACAATGTGAGACCAGCGATATTGAATACACACATGATCAACTTAATATTCATCCAAATATAGTTAATTTTATTACTTTTTTAACCTCTAAAAGGTGGATCTCCTTTTCCAATGGTCCTGACAGGAAACTTTGTGGAGTTGGTGTGCCACAAGGAGGAGTCCTCTCCCCTCTTCTCTTTAATATCTACTTAAGAAATATAGGAAATATCCTACCTGTTAACTTTAAATATGTTATGTATGCCGATGACCTCCTCTTATATGTCAGGTTTTCGGACCTTGATTCAATCTCTAAGGAGGTCACAGCAGTTCTGCGTATTCTCAGAACTTGGCTTGCAGAATTGGGGCTCGACGTTGCCCCACATAAGACTAAATGTTATGCTTTTTTCAGATCCAGAATTAACTTCGACGATCTGGAAATCCACTTGGAGGACACCTCGATTAAATGCGAAAAGACCCTAAAACTGCTCGGCATTACAATAGACAGAAAACTTACTTGGCTGCCACACAGATGATATATTGCTGATAAGGTAATTAGAGCTCTGAGTATAGTGAAAATTATAGCAAAGGTCACCTGGGGAACTTCCCCTCTACTCACACTTATGGTACATACAGGACTTATCCGTTCCATCTTGGATTGGGGTTCTCCTCT